CCCCTGAAAGTCAACGCATTGGCATGGTCGTAGAGTCTGCCGCCGCGAGGCGACCTCGCCTCCTGCACCCCGGCCATGAAACTGCTGCCGCAACAGCTGCCTCATCAAAACTTCCATGCCCCCCTCGACGACGTCCTGAACGGCCCCGGCGCCGACGTGCACGCGCGCGCGCGTGCTCGAGCAAGCTCGCGCAGACGCCTAACGAGGGCGGACAAGCATGGCCCCGCATCGGCGACTGCCGCGCCGAGGGCCAGTCTGACAGCCACCCTGGAGGCAGACGTGATATGCGCCATTGGGGGGCGGGCAGGACCACGGGCGGGGGCGCGCTGACCGGCGGCCCAGACGAATGCCAATGCACAACCTACCAACACTGCAGGGGCGCTGCAAATGCTCCTGCCCAGCTGGAACCCACGCGGGCCGCGGGCGAACCCAACGTGTATTCCCATGAAGCGAACCGCGCCTTCCTCATGAACGCGGGGCCCGGTAAGAGCCCGCCCGCTGTGATCTCTGAAGCCAGGTGCCGAGCCGCCCGCGCGCGGGGTGACGCGCTGCGACGGCCGCGCAACATGCGGCGACACATGCGGCGCAAAACTGCGACGCCCTCCAACTCGATGCCCCCTGCGTCGGGCCCCGAACTGATTGAAGGGCTTGGCCACCCTGTCGGCCCCGGGGGCGCGCGCCCAGCGTGACCTTCGGCCTCAGTAATCCAGGGGCCCAAACCTATGATCATCCGCGGCGCAGGGCCGGCCTGGGCGGGCGGCGGAGCCCGCGGTGCACGCGCGGGGCCCCAAAAGGACTCGGCATCGCGCTCGCGAACCCCACCCCGCCAAGTGGCCCGCCTCTCTCTGCAGCGCGCGCTCCGACCCGAGTCGCGCACGCGAGAGGCTTTCTGCCCCGCGCCCTGCTGCGCGCCCCCAACGAAGGGGCCCTCGCCAGAGAGACGAAAGATCCCCCCCCCCCCCCCCCCCCCCCCCCCCCGACATTGCAACGAACCGAATGCTGCCGGAATCGCGAAGGCAAGAAGGCCTCACCAGCCTGAGCCGCAACTCCACTCCACGGAGAGGCGCCGCTGGAAAAAGCTCGCGCCACGTCGGCCGTCGCACGGGCAGCAGCAGCGCAAGCAGATAAGGGAAGCAGACGGCAGGGAGGAAAGAAAGGACAGAGGAAGATGCAAGAGCAGCAAAGGGAGAGACGGGACATCGAGCGAGAGAGGCGACAGCAGAGCAGGAAGGAAGGAGAAGGCGGCTAGACTCATCGTCTTGCACGCGCACCAGAGCGGGCCCCTGCCCGCGCGCCTGCCCTGGCGCCCCTGCGACAGAACGGCCCCCGCTTCGGCGTCGCCAAGCTGATCGGCGGCATCGCGCGCGGCGGCCGGGGCGGCCGCGCGCAGCTCATCTCCTGCAGGGCAACCCGCCGTCGCCTCAAGATCCGAGCTATTGGCCGCGCGCGGCGCGACGGACCCAGCTGCCGCGCGGCGCCCTCGAGAGCTGAGCGCGGCGTTCGCTGCCCCGCCTGGGCCTCGAGAACGAAGCCCTGATTTCCGCGGGACCTGCGACCATGCCCTGCTCACACGCAGCCGCGCTCAAGAAATGCCCTCAAGGCCACTCGCTCCCAAATCTAGCCGGCGCCGCTCGCGTTGGACGGCGTAAAAAGCGCGCCGCGCGTGAGCAAGGGATGCAACGGCGTCTTGTCTAAGAGAAGCCCCCGCGCGCCGGCAATGGTCAACCCTGGCGTTCGGCGAGCCCCCGTGCTTCCTCGCGGATCTTCCGAGCGCAATCCAGTCGGCCCTGCGCCGCGAATCCCAGCGACGCCAGACCAACTCGCCACGAACGGCCACCCAATCTTCACAAGCACTGTCGCCGCCCCTGGCGACGCGTGCGCTGGCCCCAAGCTGGGACATTACAGAGAATGTACATGCTAGAACTGCGCCTGCGCGTTCGGCCTGAATGATGCATGAATGTTCTGGCCCACCAACGGGGTCGTCGTCGAACGCGGGGCGCGCGTTAATCTGCCGAGGCCGCGCGCGAGGCGCGCTCCTCTAAACTGACCTGATCCGCAAAGGTGTCGCTGCATCCCGGCGCACGCGCTCGCCGCCCCCGGGCGCGCAGCGCGCGGCTCGCGCGCGCGCGTTCGCGCGAGAAAGACACACCCACTACTCGCGCTTGGATGGCCCCCCCATGGCCCGACACGGACCCTCGGCTCTTCGCGGGGCGGCGACTTGACGTCGCCCTCGATATTCAGCTCCTCCTCCGACGATGCAGGCTGAGACAACGTGCGCGCCCTCCTCGCTGGACTGGGCAGCGCGGACTACGACGCCACCGACGCGCCCGGGTCGAGCGGGGCGACTCACTCCTGCCGCGCAGGAGAGCAGGTCTGGCGATATCGACGGAATGGAAATGTCCTCCTTCATGGGCCCCGCGCCTGCCGGACTCGCACGCGACGGCGCAGCGTCTGTCAGTGCCCGCTCGCTCTGAATGCCCATGTCTGGCCTGCCGGGCGCGTCGCATCCCATGACCAATGGCAGCGTCGACTCTGGGCTAGCAGCAAGTGGAGCAGGCGCCCACTTCCCAGGCGCGACAATCGCGGGCGTTTTTGGCGGTGGCATGGACTTGCCAACCGGGGCCCCTGGCACGGGAAGCCCCGCCACAGGTGGCGGCTGCGGCGGGGCCCCGGACGGCGTCGTTGACGGCGCGGGCTCTCCGCCCAAGCTCGCCCTCGTAGAATCCCTGGCAGTGGAAGCCGAATGATCCGCTGGAAACGCCATCGCGCGCACGACCCCCTTCAACGATGTCATCTGCGCCAGCGCCCCAAGCGACGCGTCTGCATACTACTGGCTCTGCACCACCTGGAGCATCACATACTCATGTCGAAAATCCCCCGGTTGACATAGTGCTGTTGCTGCGCCGCCTCGGACTCAAACCCGCGTTGCCCAGCGGCCAGCGGCGTTCGTCCCATATCATCGCCCTCGACCTGCACCCCCTCGACCTCGTTGATACACTCCCTTTGCAGCTCAATATCCGTCGTGGCATCGCCTTCCTGCGCCTTGAGGTCCTGCATTCGCGCGCATATAATCGACAGCCTGGCAAAAGCCAGCTCCTGTCTGCTCTTCAAGTCGGCAAACTGATGCGCGTGCATGACGGTGCCCGATAGCATGCGCTTCGTCACGGTGAGCTTGCGATGGTGCCCCTCACCGTCGTCGAACCCCGATGCTTGCTTGGCTGCCATCGCCAATCTCGCAATGTCGCAATGCGGTACCCCATCTCCAACTTGTGCAACATGTGGAGAAAGCCGGGGCGCATGCACATAAGACTAGCGTGGCGAGATTTGCTCCCTTGGGATCGGCTCAGCCCTCGCAAAATATGCCTTCACCTGCTTGTCCGCCCAATGCTGAGCGACCTTCTGCTTCTCCTGTTGGGGACTTCGACTCAAAGGGCGGCGTGATGACTTCCTGCTTTGGGTGAAGCCCTGGATCCCGCACCAACTGGCTGCGGTCTCCACCCAAGCTGTCCTTGACTCAGAACTCGTCCGAAGTCGCGATGCTGGACCCCGCACAGGCACATAAACTGATGCTTCACATACCGCCCGCACGGGCAATGTCACCTCACCTGGGGGCCCCATGCTCGCGCGCCATGGCTAAGACTGCACGGCAAACTGAAGTCTCTTAACTTGAAAATTATGCTTGAACATGGGCTATGTCTGACCAGGGGGCGCGTGTGACAGCGCGTTTCTATATAGAACAAAAACCTTGCGCAACCCCGAAACATATCTTAGTTGAGCCGACGCGACTTGAGCTAAAATGGCCTGAGCCAGAATCGCTGCGGATGTTCCTCTTCCTCCTCCTCCTTCTCTTCGTCCTCTGTGGCTCGTCCGTCTGCAGCTCTTGTCTTCCCCAGGTAGCGTTGGCCACTCCCTGGGGGAGAAAAAAACCCTTGACGCACGACCCCCGTCTCAATAAGCATGGCATACCATGGTGCAGCGGGGATGGGGATCGAAGAGACGGTACTGACAACGACGGGGGTTCTGCAGGATGGCGCCATCCGTGGGCCAGCGACGGGCGGCCCTGGCTACGCTCAGGGTCTGGAGACGCAGCGGAACCATGGACGTTGCACCAAGGCCTGCGCGCTCCGCTCGCAAAGCCCGAGGGACACCAGAGCTCCTCGCAAAGTGACTACTCGCAAATGGCCTGGATCAGCCGCGGGGGCTCAGACGAGGAAGTCCATCGAAGCAGGCGTCTGTCTTTCGGACGTTTGCGAGTAGGCACTTTGCGGGTAGTGGAACGCGCTCTGTGATTCTCCCCTCATGTCAGCTGGAGCCCCGGCCCGTGGGTGACCGAAGCGTGCCTGGGAGCGGCTTCGATTCGCCTCGCCACGCCCATCGCGGCGCAGGCGACGACCAGGCGATAGAGCTGGTGCTGCGTCTGAGTCGGCCAGCATCGTTGCAACTTGGGGCGACATTGGGGTCCTCCTGGGATATGGTGGAGGAGGTGGCACCAGCAGGAGTGGGAGGAGGGAGGACAATGGAAGGTCCTCGGAGCTATCCGCATCTGTGGCGGCGGAGGCATCTGGAGCTCTGCAGTGCCCCACATGGATCCCCCCTACAAGGGGGAGGAGGAAATACGTGTCATCACATGGGTGGTACACAGAGAAGAGCAAGCACACGAATCGTCAAGATCAAACTAGCATCGATCATCGATACAAGCCGTCGCGTGAGCCCGCCCAACACCCACGAGGGTGATGCCGTGGCGTCAAAAGAGTTTCCGACAAACGTGCCTGGAGGAGAATGTGGAGGTGCAGGTCGAGCAGGTGGAGGAGGAGGGTGCGAGTACTTGGAGGAGGAGAATCTTACAGCGAGGAAAAGGAGACGGAGAAGAAGGAGCATCACGAGGAGTAGAACAGGGGGATGTGGAGGACGACGAAGGAGACGAGAAAAACGGTTGGATGAGGAGGCAGGAAGAGGCGGAAATAACAAAATGTGGAACACGGGAGCCCCGCGTGGAGGACCGGGTCCCGCAGGTAATCTGTCGTCGGGTGCCGAGAGGCGTCCAGGCCCTTCAGGTGCTGGCGCAGCTGGGAGTCGGCCGGGACGAATATGGAGGCCTTGACCTGGGAATGCAACCCCCTCTGCTCCACATCCTCCTCATCATTCCTCCTCCTTCCAACTCATCCTGTATTCTCCTCTCCCTGCTGCTCCTTCTCCTGCCTCCTACTCCTCCTATTCCTCCTTCTCCCTCATGCCTGTTCTCCTTTCCTCCTCCTCTTCCTGCACTTTCTCATCCTTCTCCTTCTGCTCCTCCTCCTCCTCCTCCACTTGCCTCCTCCCTCTTCCGCGTCTCCTCTTGCTTTACAGGCGACTCCAGGTTAAAAACTGGGCGCCTTCGCTGTCCCCCTCCTACCCTGCCGGCATACGTACACTAGGGGAACCAATGGAAACGAGTCCTGCGCCTTCGCCCTCCTCTATCTGTCTCTGTCTCTCTCTCTCTCTCTCTCTCTCTCTCTCTTTCTCTCTCTCTCTCTCTCTCCATTTCCTCCTACACCTCCTCCTCCTCCTCGTCCTCCTCCTCCCCCCATATCTCGGCAAAGCGAGCTTGCGTCAACAGGCCAGAGGCTGCTGACATTTTCTGCAGATGACATATTATTTCTCTCCCGCCATGTGCCTCCCAAGCCAAGATGCGCCTGCCTCGGACCTGATCGTCTGGATAGGCATGGCTGCGGGGTGAAGTTATCGGGGGAAGTTTTTGTGGATGGCAGCACGTTCTCTTGACGCTTCTCGGGGCTTTCCAATGCTGGTTGGGCCATCGTTCAGATCGACCTAGATGGTCGACTCGTTGCCGGTGCCATTGGAGTGGTCCCCCTCAGCTATCCACCCAACCAGATGGCAAGCAACGGGGGGATGGAACATGTCAAGTCCTAGCAGAGCATTCGGAATAGAACCCCGAGGACCCGCTTGTGGTCACGCGGACTGTACTGGATCGATCGACTGTGCGGTCAATCCTGGCGTGGCTCTCGATCCCACGAACACAAGAGGGCATTTCTGGGTTCGCTGGTGGGAGGAGATCGGCCACCTGCGCGAGGCCGTCAAGGTTGGCGCTCACAGGGACAGGTCCTCTGCTGTGAGTTTCGAGAACGGCTGGCTCATTCTTGGCAATCAGGTCGCTGGCCGCTGGGCGACAAACATGTGCTAAGTAAGACGTGGTCGACCCCCGCCCCCCCCCAGCAGATCGCCCTTGTACAGGGGGTCGAAACCATGGCCTACGATGTGTCGAGATGGCATGCGAGGGCCCACCAGTTCTTCGTGGACGGGGGTTTCGCTGAAGGTGCGTTGGGACCTCGGATCTCTCATTCGAGCTCAGCGTGCAGCAGCTAGAGGGTTATGAGGAGGTGGCGAGGGAGGATGCCAAGTTCAGCCTGGTCAACCCTGGAGTTTTGCCTTTCGGGGATGTGCTAGGGGTCTCTCCTCTGGAAAACGCCCGAGAAGCTGCCGTCAGGCCTCCCTTGCCATCGTCCGCCCCTGCTGCCGCCGACGCCCTCGCTGCTGCTGTGCCTGCCGCCGCTGCCGAGAACGAGTCGCAGGCTCACTCAGGGACGCCGTGGGTGTTCCACGGCACCTCGGTCGCTCGGGCCACGGTGGTCCCTCAGGAGCCCGAGGCAGCGACGCTGCCAGATCTCCTCTTGTGTCCTGCGGGGCTTCGGTGCATGAGCCCGTTCGGTCGGGGAGGGGCTTGACGGCTCGTGCCAGGGTCGGGACTCTGCCGGGCCGTGGCCGCAGCGCTCACGCCCGCGGAGCCGGCTGGCCCCTCGCCGCGCCGCCAACGTCGTGGGTGTGCGAGGTCCCGACGCGGCGACCATCGCCGAAAGGACGCCTCGCGTCCCGTCCCTTGCTGCAGGCGCGGAGAGGCAGGGGGAAGGTGGGCGGGCGAATCTGTCAGAAGCGGCCCAGGCCGAGGAGGTTCTGGCACGACGGTAAGCGAACTCCAGGACTGGGCGGTTGCCAGATTGCACAGTTCAAAAACCCCCTCGTATGTCTTGGTTTTTACCACTACCTTGAAGACGACGGGTGAGAAATTTGATGCTCCTGAAGGACTGCCTACGGAAGGCTTGCGCCTCTGCAGAGAGGAAGGCCTGCCAGATGTAGCCAGCACACTCAACACATCCTCCTCCCATCTCCTCTCTCCTTCCACCCTCTCCTCTTCCGCCTGCCGGAGCTGAAGTTTATCCTCCTCCTCCTCCTCCTCCTCCTCCTCCTCCTCCTCCTCCTCCTCCTCCTCCTCCCCCACATCCTCCCAGGAAGGAGGGAGAGGAGGATCGATGTTTTTGAAAGTCGCTCGCCCTGTTGGAGCCTCCCAAGGCCCCTGGGGGGCGTGGAGGCCTACGAAGGCCTCTGGAGACCGCGGCCTCACCCTTCCCGCCCTCCCCGTCGACGGGGTGTACGAGGTGAGCGAGACAGTCGGAGCGGGGGCGTGGGAAGGCGGAGACGAGGGTGGGGGGAGGGGGGGGGGAAAACGAGCGGGAGAGGGATACAGTGGAGGCCACCAGTCCACAAGAAACCTTTCACGAAACACCCAACCCTGAGACCCTAGGACGTCCATGGATGTTTGGTGTGGGGACGTCAAGCTCTTCATAGCCAAACCATCGAAACTTTGAAACTCAAGAAGCCCAGGGCACCCTGGAGGCAAGCAGGGTGTCTCTTGGCATGGATCTCCACTGTAAGGCGGGGGGAAGGAGGACCGAGGAGAAGTGTACAGCGAAAGGTGAAAGGCCTTACCAGCCTTACCTCCCTCTCCTCCTCCTTCCTCGTCTTCAGGCTTCATCCCCTCCTTGTTCCGTCCTCCTCCGCCTGCACTGTGGTGCGATCCTACTACGTACTCCACCTCCGCAATCTCACAGTGCTCCTCCACCTGCTCCCACTTTTCTCAACCTCCCCTGCTCTCCTCCTCGTCCCCTCCATCTCGTGGTCCCCCCTTTTCGTCCTCTGAAGTGCTCCTCCTCCTCCTCCTCCTCCTGCTCCTTTTCGACCTCCTCCTCCTCCTCCTCCTCCTCCTCTTGAACAGCCCCCTTCCCCTTCTCGTCGTACTCCTCGTGCTCCTCATCCTGGAATTCCTGATCTACCTCTCACTACGCCGTCTTCCCTCTCCACTGCTTACGCCCTCCTCCCCTGGCGAACTCCCAGGTCTCCTCCTCGCCATCCAGGTGAAGGATATAGAAGGCGGAGGGGGAGGGGGAGGGGGAGGGGGAGGAGAAGGAGGAGGAGGAGGAGACGGTAAGATAAGACGAGGGCGGACGGCGGCGTCCAAGATACCGACCGCGGGGATAAAAACGGAGACACATTAAACCAAATCCTCCTCCACCCCCGCGCCCCGGCGGGCGGCCTCCTGCTCCCAGAACGGGAGCGAGTCCACCGTGAGGCCGTAGCGGGCGAGGAGAGGGCCCCGCCCCATGGGCACCTGCCATGGCGGCCCCCTGGGGAAAACGGCTCGGGCGGCAGGCGCCGTCACCCGCGCCTGGGGACGGTCCAGAATCGCCCGAGCCAAGTCCAGGAGATCACCTGGGACGGGGCGCTCGAGACAGCTAACACTCCAGCCTTTGTACTTATTCAGCCACCTGGGAAAGAGACCCGCGAGCAAACGTGAACGCTGCTGCTTGAGCCCCTTCCCCGCATTGTGACCATGACACTCACGAACGGCAAGCTCCCTGACCCCGCCCCACGCGTAAGCACCACACGAGATACAACGCACAATACGCGGGGCGGAGACAACGGAGGCTCCCGTCTGATCGAAAACATGGCAGACTCGCAAGTTATGCTGAGACAGCCTCATCAGAGTTGCAAGCTCGGGATCGCACGGCCCCGAATGGGCAACGGCGGACAACACTGCCCTGAAACGCACAGACACGGGGGGGATGGGGCGCTCAAGGGGGCGGCCCTGGCGAGGTCCCGAACCAGGCTCCAAGCGCTTATCAGGCAGGCCCTCCGAGTCCACCCACCCCCGCTCCCGCGTCAGAATCCCCTGCCGCCCAACCCACTGGCCCAGCTCCCGCCCCAAGAGACTTAAACCAGCGATTTCACGGGCGGCCTGATCGACCGAAGGGTGCATACCTGCCCCTCGCTTCGATAGGGCGTCGGCAATGGCGTTAGCCTTGCGCTCCCAACGAGTGGTGACCCCTCGCTCCATGTCCGCCTCCGTGCAGCGGGCCTTCGTTTTGTGGGCGACCAGCCCATCCTCGAAGGCCGCATGCACAGATGTCCACATGTGAGCCTGGCCACAACGGGCACTCGTGGAGCGAACTCTCGACCGCGCACAGGAAATCGTAGCTGCACAATCGGTCCACACTCCCTCGGGGTTCATAGCGATCTGGCCGAGCATCTGATACGCATAATCCTCGCCATCCTCGGCGAGCTGGAGAGGAGCAACATCCCAAGGGGCGGGCCCGAAAGCTCCAGACATCATGGCGCCAGTGTCGTCGACCGAGATCATCGCCCACCCTGCTCTTCTTAGGAGCGGGTCCGAGGGGAAAATGGCAGAGCCATCGGTAAAAAGTGCGCCAGACAACAGGCCGTCCTCGGGCCTCCGAATCCAGGAGACCTGGCACCTTTCGGACCTGAGGGGCGGGGGGGCCAGCTCCCTGGGGGACGGGAAAATGCCAGAGGCAAAAAACTCCCCAGGGTCACCAAGCCGCCGAATTAGCTTGACTGCTTCTAACGCTTCATCCGATAAGAAATGAGAGCGATCAGCAGCCCAGGCTTCACAAACAAATCTTCGGTGGAACGTGGCCCCTGGGGCCCCCATGCAAAGCCTGCAAAGGTTGCACGACACCAATCCATGCCGCTGCAGACGGCCCTGGGTCCAGTGAGTTCCCGAGACCGCGGCCCTAAGAGAATTCTTATGGGCCCTGTCCCAGGAATCACTTTTCCTGGCGAACAAAGAGTCCAGCGGCTGCCAAAACACAGGGCGACACCACGACGACGAACCCACACGAGCCTCGAGGGCACGAAAATCCGACATCTCTCTGGCAGCCTGCTGGGCGAGAGTGGCAACCACCGACGGCGAGAGCCTGAGCAAATCAATCTGCTCGCCCGTCGAGAGAACAATGAGGCGCGCTGATCTCGCTTCCCATCCCAGATCCCCACAAGCAATCACAAAGACGTGCGCAGGGGACGTCGCCCTCGACCACGGGCGACTGGTGGTGGCAAGTGAGCGAACAGCGTCCTCAAAAACTGCCTGCAGGATCGTTAAGCTGGGGAGTCCATCCCAGACAGCCCGAGCCCATTCAAAAACAACCTGCTTGAAATACAACGGAACGGGGTCCATGGTTTTACCCTGCTTAAAAGTGCGGAGTTTCAAACCCATAGACGCCCCCTTCTTAGCAGGAGCCAGAGACAGGAGGGCCTGAGTGCGGATCCTATTTAACTGCGACCACGGAAGCCCTCTCACCGAGGCCCCCCACAACGCAGAGGCCTGGGGACCCGCTCTCTGGATGTGCCCCACATAGGCCCCAGCGCGCCCCAGCGAGCGGAGGCGCGTCGACCTACGCAAGCAAGTCCTAACTCTGGTGGAGGCAATGGGGGCCAACCTAGAAGAGCTCACCTGCCAATCCGTCCCCAGACTCCGACTCGCCGCCTTTTTCCTGAATGACGCCTTCCACGCACTGGCCAGGCCCTCGGCGACCCCTTTCGACGACGCAAGGACCTGTGAATTTTTCTCCGACAACACCAGACGCAGGCTGCGCAAGCCATCGATCAGCTTGCTCCCGACGCCGCCCAACTCCCTGACGACGTGGAGGCTCGTGCCGACGGACTGCACACTGATGTCGTCTATCACATTCCTCACCATCGCCGTCGGGTGCTCGCTCTCGACCTTGGTGAGCAGGCGGAACAGCAGGACTCTCGCCAGGCACGTCGCGAGCGAACAGCCCGCCAGCACCGTGCCTGAGGCGTGGAAGACCACGGAGACGCAGCCATTGAAGGACACCGCGCGGGGCCCCGAGTAGAGCGAGCATGCCGCTCTACAGAGCCTGGTCGAGAACTTCACAGCCTCCGCCTCTGCAAACAAAGCCGCACGACATATGCGCTCGTAAAACTTGTCAAGGTCCGTGGCCAGAGTGGCTGACTGCATGCCCCTGCTGCGCGCGAAGTGCGCCATAGTCTGGTGCGCCCAGCCCGCTCTGTCACATTCTCGATCTCGCACGCCCCAGAAGACTCCAGCCGCGCGCTGGTCCTCCCAAAGCTTGGCCTCCTCTCGCCGCACCTTGCCCCAGACCCGCAGGATGGGGCATATGAGGGCGATCGGCCTGACTCCCGAGCCGTCAAGCTTGCCCAAGAAGACCATCAACGTCGGCCATCTGTCCGGTAGCTGCGGGTCGGCCTCCCGCAGCACCATGAGGTCCACGAGCCTCTCCATGAAGTCGTCGTCGAGCAAGTGAAAGGTTCGCGGGTTCACGCAGTCCGCCCCGCAGCCCACCTGGTGAGGAAAGGAGCGGCATGCCGCGCGAACGCGCTCAGCGGACGGCCTGACCAGCTCATCGCCCTGCGCAACTGCTGCCTGGATCTGTGAGATGCTCTCCTTGGCGTCTCCCCAGTACTGCATCCACTCCGCGTGCATTGCTTGCACGGCAGCGTCCCCTTGCAGCGCCCAGCCCTCTGGAGCCACGGGCCCCTTCACCTGCGGCAGGTCCTTCAGATACCTGTGCGCACGGCGGCCACCTGCCTTCACCGCAGACTGGGCCCACTCTCTCCACTCCTGCAGCTGCTCCTTCGCCGCCATCTGGGACGCCTCCAGCGCAGCTTGGTGAACGTTGGTCGCCAAGGAGACTAGATCCTCCCCACCTGCTACAGCAGCGCTGCGTAGTGAGTGCAGGTCGAGACCAACGGACTTGACCCCCGTCAGCGTCGACAGGTCGAGGTGGTCCAGTTCATCCAACAGGCGTAGACGGGTATCGTCACGGACTCGTGCCTTGCGACCCTGAAGTCTTCCGACCTGGCCCCTGAGACGCCCCCCTGGTTTAAGGCCTTGGCCACCTTCACGGCCCAGAGGGTGTGCAGGAGCCAGGTCTGTCGACGAGTGGACCTCTGCTCCAGCCGAATGGTCCTCGAAGGCAGGCACAGGCCTCCTCCACCCAAGGGGGCAGTCCGCGAGGTTCCACTCAGCCTTCTCCGCCGAGCCCACCTGGGATGGCATCCGAGAACAAGAAGACGCCGAAATCGACTGACAGGCCGCAGCAGGCGCCAGCGGCGTCGGCCCCGAGTGCGGCGACGTGTAGTCTGGCAAGACAAAGCCCATGGATCCCAAGGAAGGCGTCGCACCCTCGATGCTGAGCCCTTCGGCACAAGGAGCAGAAGCGCCACCTGAACATACCGAGGTCGGCTGCACAGCTTCCTCATCGCTAGCGCCCACGGTGCCGTCCTGGAGCGCCTGGAACCTGGACAGAATAGCATCAAGCGACCTCCATGCTCGCATCTGGGCCCCACTGCCAGACAGCTCCGCCTTTTCTACGGAAGCGGAGAGGGGCACCTGCCGACGCTCGAACCCGTCAGCTCTGCCAACAAAGCCTCTCTGCCCTGCTCCAACTATGTCGAACTGGTTGCACAGCTCCAGCTCCATGTTGCTCAGCCACTGGCACCACGCCTCCTCCAGCTGAACCCCTGCGAGCACCCCTGCAGGCCAGGACCAGCTGTGCACGGCAGGCTCCCGCAGCGGCCCCGTCCGTAGGGTAGTGGGGAAGGGCTTCCATGTCCTGCGAACGTGGATCGGGATGTTCAGCGTGGGGCCCTTGAGCTGCATGGCAACCGCGACGTGCGGCGATGAGGGGGTGCCGTAAATCGTGCGTACATCACTGACAAAGTTGGCCAACCCCTGACTCACAATATAGTAATCAATCGTGGACCCCGATTTGGCTGCGAAGCAAGTCGGGCCACTTGGGGCCACGATCGTACCTGTCAGAAGCTCTACCCACTTGCACAACTTAAGATCATCTGGCGGCAAGTTGAAGTCCCCTGCCAGTATCCACGGAGACCTGGACCTACGCAGAAAAACTCCCAAGTCCTCCAGCATGTCCCATGTGAACACCTTGTCGGACGCGTCCACGAACCCGTAGATCGAGCCCAGCAGCAGACCGTGGGGAAAGGCCATGTTGGCCCGAATCAGCTTCAGCCTCGAGAAATACCCAGCCTGGACGCCAACATGCTTGAGGCTCAACCCTGCGAAAGCGATGTGTGACGCCACAGCCGTCAGCACTCCCCCTGAGGATTCCGTGGCAAGGGGTCCCGTGGGCTTAGCCCTGCCGAACGCCCCGTGATAGCCACGAGCTCGGAGCCAACCTGCCGCGCTACGAATTTTGGTAAGATCTTTCAAACGATGTTCCTGACAAAAACATACATGTGGCCGAGCGTCACCTCCCCAACTTTTCTGCCAGTCCAAGCAGCCCTGGAACGAGCTCCAGGCGCTCGCGTTGACCGTCCACAGCCTCCACAGTTGCTGCACGCGCTGTGGCCTGGCCGCCTGGCTAAAGCCCCTGCCTGCGCCGCTTGACCCCGAGGGCCTCCTGAGCGTGCAGCAGCTGCCGCTTGGCGTCTGCCTGGGCTTCAGCACCTTCAGCAGCTCGCAGTGCTTCGGCAGCAGCTCGAAACGCTTCCGCTCGAGCCTCGAAGTCCAATGCTGGTTGGGCCATCGTTCAGATCGACCTAGATGGTCGACTCGTTGCCGGTGCCATTGGAGTGGTCCCCCTCAGCTATCCACCCAACCAGATGGCAAGCAACGGGGGGATGGAACATGTCAAGTCCTAGCAGAGCATTCGGAATAGAACCCCGAGGACCCGCTTGTGGTCACGCGGACTGTACTGGATCGATCGACTGTGCGGTCAATCCTGGCGTGGCTCTCGATCCCACGAACACAAGAGGGCATTTCTGGGTTCGCTGGTGGGAGGAGATCGGCCACCTGCGCGAGGCCGTCAAGGTTGGCGCTCACAGGGACAGGTCCTCTGCTGTGAGTTTCGAGAACGGCTGGCTCATTCTTGGCAATCAGGTCGCTGGCCGCTGGGCGACAAACATGTGCTAAGTAAGACGTGGTCGACCCCCGCCCCCCCCCCAGCAGATCGCCCTTGTACAGGGGGTCGAAACCATGGCCTACGATGTGTCGAGATGGCATGCGAGGGCCCACCAGTTCTTCGTGGACGGGGGTTTCGCTGAAGGTGCGTTGGGACCTCGGATCTCTCATTCGAGCTCAGCGTGCAGCAGCTAGAGGGTTATGAGGAGGTGGCGAGGGAGGATGCCAAGTTCAGCCTGGTCAACCCTGGAGTTTTGCCTTTCGGGGATGTGCTAGGGGTCTCTCCTCTGGAAAACGCCCGAGAAGCTGCCGTCAGGCCTCCCTTGCCATCGTCCGCCCCTGCTGCCGCCGACGCCCTCGCTGCTGCTGTGCCTGCCGCCGCTGCCGAGAACGAGTCGCAGGCTCACTCAGGGACGCCGTGGGTGTTCCACGGCACCTCGGTCGCTCGGGCCACGGTGGTCCCTCAGGAGCCCGAGGCAGCGACGCTGCCAGATCTCCTCTTGTGTCCTGCGGGGCGTCGGTGCATGAGCCCGTTCGGTCGGGGAGGGGCTTGACGGCTCGTGCCAGGGTCGGGACTCTGCCGGGCCGTGGCCGCAGCGCTCACGCCCGCGGAGCCGGCTGGCCCCTCGCCGCGCCGCCAACGTCGTGGGTGTGCGAGGTCCCGACGCGGCGACCATCGCCGAAAGGACGCCTCGCGTCCCGTCCCTTGCTGCAGGCGCGGAGAGGCAGGGGGAAGGTGGGCGGGCGAATCTGTCAGAAGCGGCCCAGGCCGAGGAGGTTCTGGCACAACGGTAAGCGAACTCCAGGACTGGGCGGTTGCCAGATTGCACAGTTCAAAAACCCCCTCGTATGTCTTGGTTTTTACCACTACCTTGAAGACGACGGGTGAGAAATTTGATGCTCCTGAAGAACCTGCCTACGGAAGGCTTGCGCCTCTGCAGAGAGGAAGGCCTGCCAGATGTAGCCAGCACACTCAACACATCCTCCTCCCATCTCCTCTCTCCTTCCACCCTCTCCTCTTCCGCCTGCCGGAGCTGAAGCTTTTCCTCCTCCTCCTCCTCCTCCTCCTCCTCCTCCTCCCCCACATCCTCCCAGGAAGGAGGGAGAGGAGGATCGATGCTTTTGAAAGTCGCTCGCCCTGTTGGAGCCTCCCAAGGCCCCTGGGGGGCGTGGAGGCCTACGAAGGCCTCTGGAGACCGCGGCCTCACCCTTCCCGCCCTCCCCGTCGACGGGGTGTACGAGGTGAGCGAGACAGTCGGAGCGGGGGCGTGGGAAGGCGGAGACGAGGGTGGGGGGAGGGGGGGGGGAAGACGAACGGGAGAGGGATACAGTGGAGGCAAGTCCACAAGAAACCTTTCACGAAACACCCAACCCTGAGACCCTAGGACGTCCATGGATGTTTGGTGTGGGGACGTCAAGCTCTTCATAGCCAAACCATCGAAACTTTGAAACTCAAGAAACCCAGGGCACCCTGGAGGCAAGCAGGGTGTCTCTTGGCATGGATATCCACTGTAAGGCGGGGGGAAGGAGGACCGAGGAGAAGTGTACAGCGAAAGGTGAAAGGCCTTACCAGCCTTACCTCCCTCTCTTCCTCCTTCCTCGTCTTCAGGTTTCATCCCCTCCATGTTCCCTCCTCCTCCGCCTGCACTGTGGTGCGATCCTACTACGTACTCCACCTCCGCAATCTCACAGTGCTCCTCCACCTGCTCCCGCTTTTCTCAACCTCCCCTGCTCTCCTCCTCGTCCCCTCCATCTCGTGGTCCCCCCTTCTCGTCCTCTGAAGTGCTCCTCCTCCTCCTCCTCCTGCTCCTTTTCGACCTCCTCCTCCTCCTCCTCCTCCTCCTCCTCCTCCTCCTCTTGAACAGCCCCCTTCCCCTTCTCGTCGTACTCCTCGTGTTCCTCATCCTGGAACTCCTGCTCTACCTCTCACTACGCCGTCTTCCCTCTCCACTGCTTACGCCCTCCTCCCCTGGCGAACTCCCAGGTCTCCTCCTCGCCCTCCAGGTGAAGGATATAGAAGGCGGAGGGGGAGGGGGAGGGGGAGGAGAAGGAGGAGGAGGAGGAGACGGTAAGATAAGACGAGGGCGGACGGCGCCCAAGATACCGACCGCAGGGATAAAAACGGAGACACATTAAACCAAATCCTCCTCCACCCCCGCGCCCCGGCGGGCGGCCCCCTGCTCCCAGAACGGGAGCGAGTCCACCGTGAGGCCGTAGCGGGCGAGGAGAGGGCCCCGCCCCATGGGCACCTGCCATGGCGGTCCCCTGGGGAAAACGGCTCGGGCGGCAGGCGCCGTCACCCGCGCCTGGGGACGGTCCAGAATCGCCCGAGCCAAGTCCAGGAGATCACCTGGGACGGGGCGCTCGAGACAGCTAACACTCCAGCCTTTGTACTTATTCAGCCACCTGGGAAAGAGACCCGCGAGCAAACGTGAACGCTGCTGCTTGAGCCCCTTCCCCGCACTGTGACCATGACACTCACGAACGGCAAGCTCCCTGACCCCGCCCCACGCGTAAGCAACACACGAGATACAACACACAATACGCGGGGCGGAGACAACGGAGGCTCCCGTCTGATCGAAAACATGGCAGACTCGCAAGTTATGCTGAGACAGCCTCATCAGAATTGCAAGCTCGGGACCTTTCGGACCTGAGGGGCGGGGGGACCAGCTCCCCGGGAGACGGAAAATGCCCGAAGCAAAAAACTCCCCAGGGTCACCAAGCCGCCGAATTAGCTCGACTGCTTCTAACGCTTCATCCGATAAGAAATGAGAGCGATCAGCAGCCCAGGCTTCACAAACAAATCTTCGGTGGAACGTGGCCCCTGGGGCCCCCATGCAAAGCCTGCAAAGGTTGCACGACGCCAATCCATGCCGCTGCAGACGGTCCTGGGTCCAGTGAGTTCCCGAGACCGCGGCCCTAAGAAAATTATTATGGGTCCTGTCCCAGGAATCACTTTTCCTGGCGAACAAAGAGTCCAGCGGCTGCCAAAAACACAGGGCGACACCACGACGACGAACCCACGCGAGCCTCGAGGGCACGAAAATCCGACATCTCTCTGGCAGCCTGCTGGGCGAGAGTGGCAACCACCGACGGCGAGAGCCTGAGCAAGTCAATCTGCTCGCCCGTCGAGAGAACAATGAGGCGCGCTGGTCTCGCTTCCCATCCCAGATCCCCACAAGCAATCACAAAGACGTGCGCAGGGGACGTCGCCCTCGACCACGGGCGACTGGTGGTGGCAAGAGGGCGAACAGCGTCCTCAAAAACTGCCTGCAGGATCGTTAAGCTGGGGAGTCCATCCCAGACAGCCCGAGCCCATTCAAAAACAACCTGCTTGAAATACAACGGAACGGGGTCCATGGTTTTACCCTGCTTAAAAGTGCGGAGTTTCAAACCCATAGACGCCCCCTTCTTAGCAGGAGCCAGAGACAGGAGGGCCTGAGTGCGGATCCTATTTAACTGCGACCACGGAAGCCCTCTCACCGAGGCCCCCCACAACGCAGAGGCCTGGGGACCCGCTCTCTGGATGTGCCCCACATAGGCCCCAGCGCGACTCAGAGAGCGGAGGCGCGTCGACCTACGCAAGCAAGTCCTAACTCTGGTGGGGGCAATGGGGGCCAACCTAGAAGAGCTCACCTGCCAATCCGTCCCCAGACTCCGAATCACCGCCTTTTTCCTGAATGACGCCTTCCACGCACTGGCCAGGCCCTCGGCGACCCCTTTCGACGATGCAAGGACCTGTGATTTTTTCTCCGACAACACCAGACGCAGGCTGCGCAAGCCATCGATCAGCTTGCTCCCGACGCCGCCCAACTCCCTGACGACGTGGAGGCTCGTGCCGACGGACTGCACACTGATGTCGTCTATCACATTCCTCACCATCGCCGTCGGGTGCTCGCTCTCGACCTTGGCGAGCAGGCGGAACAGCAGGACTCTCGTCAGGCACGTCGCGAGCGAACAGCCCGCCAGCACCGTGCCTGAGGCGTGGAAGACCACGGAGACGCAGCCATTGAAGGACACCGCGCGGGGCCCCGAGTAGAGCGAGCATGCCGCTCTACAGAGCCTGGTCGAGAACTTCACAGCCTCCGCCTCTGCAAACAAAACCGCATGACATATACGCTCGTAAAACTTGTCAAGGTCCGTGGCCAGAGTGGCTGACTGCATGCCCCTGCTGCGCGCGAAGTGCGCCATAGTCTGGTGCACCCAGCCCGCTCTGTCGCATTCTCGATCTCGCACGCCCCAGAAGACTCCAGCCGCGTGCTGGTCCTCCCAAAGCTTGGCCTCCTCTCGCCGCACCTTGCCCCAGACCCGCAGGATGGAGCATATGAGGGCGATCGGCCTGACTCCCGAGCCGTCAGGCTTGCCCAAGAAGACCATCAACGTCGGCCATCTGTCCGATAGCTGCGGGTCGGCCTCCCACAACACCATGAGGTCCACGAGCCTCTCCATGCAGTCGTCGTCAAACATATCAAAGGATCGCGGGTTCACGCAGTCCGCCCCGCAGCCCACCTGGTGAGGAAAGGAGCGGCATGCCGCACGAACGCGATCAGCGGACGGCCTGACCAGCTCATCGCCCTGCGCAACTGCTGCCTGGATCTGTGAGATGCTCTCATTGGCGTCCCCCCAGTACTGCATCCACTCCGTGTGCATTGCTTGCACGGCAGCGTCCCCTTGCAGCGCCCAGCCCCCTGGAGCCACGGGCCCCTTCACCTGCGGCAGGTCCTTCAGATACCTGTGCGCACGGCGGCCACCTGCCTTCACCGCAGACTGGGCCCACTCTCTCCACTCCTGCAGCTGCTCCTTCGCCGCCATCTGGGACGCCTCCAGCGCAACTTGGTGAACGTTGGTCGCCAAGGAGACTAGATCCCCCCCACCTGCTACAGCAGCGCTGCGTAGTGAGTGCAGGTCGAGATCAACGGACTTGACCCCCGTCAGCGTCGACAGGTCGAGGTGGTCCAATTCATCCAACAGGCGTAGACGGGCATCGTCACGGACTCGTGCCTTGCGGCCCTGAAGACTTCCGACCTGGCCCCTGAGACGCTCCCCTGGTTTAAGGCCTTGGCCACCTTCACGGCCCAGAGGGTCTGCAGGAGCCAGGTCTGTCGACGAGTGGACCTCTGCTCCAGCCGAATGGTCCTCGAAGGCAGGCACAGGCCTCCTCCACCCAAGGGGGCAGTCCGCGAGGTTCCACTCAGCCTTCTCCGCCGAGCCCACCTGGGATGGCATCCGAGAACAAGAAGACGCCGAAATCGACTGACAGGCCGCAGCAGGCGCCAGCGGCGTCGGCCCCGAGTGCGGCGACGTGTAGTCTGGCAAGACAAAGCCCATGGATCCCAAGGGAGGCGTCGCACCCTCGATGCTGAGCCCTTCGGCACTGGGAGCAGAAGCGCCACCTGAACATACCGAGGTCGGCTGCACAGCTTCCTCATCGCTAGCGCCCACGGTGCCGTCCTGGAGCGCCTGGAACCTGGACAGAATAGCATCAAGCGACCTCCATGCTCGCATCTGGGCCCCACTGCCAGACAGCTCCGCCTTTTCTGCGGAAACGGAGAGGGGCACCTGCCGACGCTCGAACCCGTCAGCTCTGCCAACGAAGCCTCTCTGCCCTGCTCCAACTATGTCGAACTGGTTGCACAGCTCCAGCTCCATGTTGCTCAGCCACTGGCACCACGCCTCCTCCAGCTGAGCCCCTGCGAGCACCCCTGCAGGCCAGGACCAGCTGTGCACGGCAGGCTCCCGCAGCGGCCCCGTCCGTAGGGTAGTGGGGAAGGGCTTCCATGTCCTGCGAACGTGGATCGGGGTGTTCAGCGTGGGGCCCTTGAGCTGCATGGCAACCGCGACGTGCGGCGATGAGGGGGCGCCGTAAATCGCGCGTACATCACTGACAAAGTTGGCCAACCCCTGACTCACAATATAGTAATCAATCGTGGACCCCGATTTGGCTGCGAAGCAAGTCGGGCCACTTGGGGCCACGATCGTACCTTTCAGAAGCTCTACCCACTTGCACAACTTAAGATCATCTGGCGGCAAGTTGAAGTCCCCTGCCAGTATCCACGGAGACCTGGACCTACGCAGAAAAACTCCCAAGTCCTCCAGCATGTCCCATGTGAACACCTTGTCGGACGCGTCCACGAACCCGTAGATCGAGCCCAGCAACAGACCGCGGGGAAAGGCCATGTTGGCCCGAATCAGCTTCAGCCTCGAGAAATACCCAGCCTGGACGCCAACATGCTTGAGGCTCAACCCTGCGAAAGCGATGTGTGACGCCACAGCCGTCAGCACTCCCCCTGAGGATTCCGTGGCAAGGGGTCCCGTGGGCTTAGCCCTGCCGAACGCCCCGTGATAGCCACGAGCTCGGAGCCAACCTGCCGCGCTACGAACTTTGGTAAGATCTTTCAAACGATGTTCCTGACAAAAACATACATGTGGCCGAGCGTCACCTCCCCAACTTTTCTGCCAGTCCAAGCAGCCCTGGAACGAGCTCCAGGCGCTCGCGTTGACCGCCCACAGCCTCCACAGTTGCTGCACGCGCTGTGGCCTGGCCGCCTGGCTAAAGCCCCTGCCTGCGCCGCTTGACCCCGAGGGCCTCCTGAGCGCGCAGCAGCTGCCGCTTGGCGTCTGCCTGGGCTTCAGCACCTTCAGCAGCTCGCAGTGCTTCGGCAGCAGCTCGAAACGCTTCCGCTCGAGCCTCGAAGTCATCCCCATTGAGCTGCTCCATTTCGATATCGTCGTCCCCTGCTGCCACATCGCCCCCAGGAGGTTCAGTAGCAGCATCAGGAGCATGGTCATTCCCCCCATGCGAGGGCCGCCCGATCTTCGCGAGGATGATCGGCTTGAGTATCTCCCACTTGTCCGACCCGAGAAAGGCCTGCACTTCAGGATCCTGCGTCTCCTCAGGCTTAATCTCCAGCTTGAAAGTGACCGTCGGCTTCGGCTCCCCGTCAGACTGAGCAATGAGAGCAGCCGTCCGCTTGCACTCGGCGTCGAGCTTGTCAACCTCGAGCTTCTTCGCCTCAAGCTGCAGCCTGCGCTCGTCGATCGTCTCTTGCAGCTTCTGCATCTGCGCGGTCTTCTCAACAATCTCGGCCTCCAATTTTGCACGGGCCAGGCGGGCCTTGTGCAAATCCTGGGCCGTCCTGCGATGAGCGATCGCGGGAGTGCGCAGCGCCTTCTGCTGCTCCCGTATGCTCTTGATCTTCTCAATCGTCGCGGCACGAATGGGGTCATCATCGGGCCCAGGCAAACTCTTGAGCACCGACTCGTATTGCCCCAGCTGCGCCGTGAGCTTCTCTCGCTTGACCTTCTCGTCATCAGACTCGAGCAGGGGGCCCATGTCCGACGACGCCTTCTTTGCCTGGGCCCACGGAGCCTCGGTCGGGCTGGCAGGTGGCGGCGGCTCCCCCTTGCCACAGAACGACCTGATGAGCTTCTCCATCTCCGCGAGCCTCATGCTGGTGTCATCTTTGCCTTTGCTCTTCGGTAATGGCGCCCCCGACTGACCAGGTGGCAAGGCCGCAACCGCCGCCTTGTGGGCCTTCCAAGCCTCGTTCCTGATCCGAAGCGGCGCCTCATTCCCGCACTGACAGCGAATTCGCGATGCCCAGTTCGCCGCCGCTGAGCATCTCCCACACGCCCAAAAGGGCCGCCGCGGCCCACGGAGCACCGTGGGAGCGGGCGGCGGTTCGGGCGCCATCGCTGCACCTTCCTCGTTGTGAATCTCTGCGCTCCCTGGGAGCGACGCGCAGTCAGCCAAGTTGACTCGCTGCAGCGGCGCCGTTCTGAAGACAGCTGCAGCAAGCCCAAACACCAGGAGGAGGAGACGGAGGAAGAGGTGGAGGAGGAGGAGGAGGAACGCTCCACCTCGTCCTCCAGGACGGAGGACGAGGGGGATGGGGAGGAGAAGGGTGACACGAGGATCAGAATGTGGACGGAGGAGGGAAGGAGGGAGAAACGATGAGGAGGAGGAGGAGGAGGAGAAGGAGGAGAAGGAGGAGAAAAGGAAGAGGCGGGAACGGGAAGGAGGAGGGGGAAGTCTCCCCCCTCCCCGGAGCCTCCAGAGAGTCCTTCATCAGATTGGACTTCCTGGCCTCCTCCAACGCCGCATTGACAGGATCTCTCAGCCGGAGCACCTGGGCGGGGGGGGCAGATGAAAGCGCTGAGGAGGTGAGGGGGTCGACATTCCACGCACGGCAGCATGGTGCTGGTAGATTCGTTGGGCAACAAACCTCCCGACCTGCCTCGCCCACCCAAGATACCGCGGCCGCTGGGCCCCGGCTGTCCGGGGTGGCCCCTGGGGATGCCGTCCCCGCCGACCCAGCATACCGCGGCCACCAGGCCTAAAGAACCCCCGAGTGTCCCCGAATGTCCCTTCCCGCCGAGCCCCATCAAGGCGGCGTCAAGGCGTCAAGCCGTGCAGACATCGAGAACAGACATCAATAAGAAGCATCAGCATCAGGCATCAATAAGCTTCACCTATATCACCCAGCTACAACATCAACCTGCACGACATGCATACAACAACAAAACATAATAAGGACACCCGCAACACATGCCAAGCACCCATATCAAGCATACAGACCAGAAATAGGCATCAAGAAAACGCATCAAACACATCGCGATGTATGGAATTGTACCAAACACATCCAGGACATACGACATACGCCAATACCCACCATCAACATCAGACACCAAGACAATGAATCGATACCACACACCAATACAATGCACAAGTGTCACACGATAACAGCGTACCTCTGGACTTGCACACATAGCATGCGGTACCACACGACACCACATACACTCGTTGCAAGCACGCATATCAACGAGGCACCCAACAGAGAACGTACTCGCACGCAGCAACCGTGTGCATCCAGAACACACAACAAAAGCATGCGCAGGTAATATACATCATCAGAGAAACCCGGGCATACAACAACAACACACACACACCAACATACTCGACACGCATCACTAAACACATGCACCACGCACAACCATCAATACAGCACACGGCTACCAGAAACCCGGATCACGAATCAAGACTGTGAACAGTTGGTATTCATCAATGGCAGACGTTGAGAGCACGCACTCGTGACTCGCATCAGGACGCATACCCACGCCGCCCCCCGGGGGAGCCAAACACCACAATGCATGCCGGCACTTACACATAGATAGTCACAGAAAGCAGGGCAGTGCAACATTACATATGCAATCCATCACAATAGCATACATGCACCGCTCGTGCTAAGCATGAACACAAGCATAACACATGAGCCAGCATGCACACATGCCAAGCGATCATAACCTGTACAACGGCCAACTAACACACGGTATATCCGCACGAGACAGACTTTAAAACCATTCGCAGCGGCTCCACGAAGGATCCCGGCCGGAGCAACACAATTCTTACCGATGTGTTTGTCACATGTGCTTCTACGTGTTACTTCGAAAGGCCTCTGGCGACCTCCGGGGACATCCACGGTCAGGACTGAGGGGGGGAGGGGATGGGGAGGAGGTGGCAGGGGGCGCGGGGGGAAAAGGATGAGGCAGGAGGGCGAATGGGGAAGTGGTGGGATATGCTCTGCAGGCAGCTGCCGCTGTCGCCTTCCAAACGGCTGCCACTGGCGCCGCCCTGACTGCGATGAGCACGAACGCCCCAGAAGCATTAGCTTCCCTCGCTCGCTCGACGCTGGGCCAAGGAGTGTTCGTTTTCTAGGCCATCCTCCTGCTCCTCCTCCGCCTTCTCCTCTCCTCCTTCCTACCCCCTGTCGCTCCCTCGACCCTGGGCCAGGGAGCGTCTGTCGTTATCTAATTAGGCGATCCTCCTCCCCCTCCTCCTTCTCCTCTCCTCCTTCCTCCCCCCTTGCTCCCCCCTTCTCCGCCCGCTCCTGCTGCTCCTCCTCCTCCTCCTCCTCCTCCCCACCCCCCTCCCCCCCTCTGCCCTCTGCTCCTCACTGCTCCCCTGCCAGAAGAGGAGGCGGTCTCCTGCCGCAAGTCCTCCAGCGAGCCGGCCTCGGGATCGCCTTCGCGCGGGAAGGGCTCGCACCAGCCCGACAGGAAGACGCTTTTCGCATCGCCGGCGTGCGGGAGATTCTGCCAGACGTCCTCGGCCAGGTGGCACAGAACCTCGAGGAGAGGGGAGGGGGGGGGGGGGGGAAAGATCAAAATCTTCCTCGTTCTCCGTCCACCGTCCCGGGTTCCCCGGTTCCTCCCCCTCCTCCTTCTCCCTCCTTTTCCCTCCTCCTCCTCCTCCTCCTCCTGCTCGACCTCCTCCTCCTCCGATTCCTCATCCTCCTTCTGATCCCTCCTCCTCCTCCTCCTCCTCATGCTCCTCCTCTCGAGGAGGGAGGGGAGGGGGCGAGGTTCTAGAAGCAGGGCGCGGAGGACGAGGAGGAGGAGGAGGAGGGGGAGGAGGAGGAAGAGGACGAGGAGGAGACGGGGGACGGAGCGAGGCAAGGAGAAGGAGGAGGAGGAAGAGGAGGAGAAAAAGGATGAGCAGCAGCAGCAGCAGCGGAGGAGCATGAGAGGGAAAAGGACGAAGGAGGAGTCTGGGAAGGAGCAAGAAGAGGGCGAGGATGGAGGAGGCAAACCAGGAGGGCGAGGAGGCGAACCAGGAGGGCTAAGAGAAGAGGAGGAGGAGGACAAGGAGTAGAGGCAAGGAGAGAACAGGGTAATGAGGACTGGATGGGAGGAGACAGGAGGGGGGGCGTTGTCATGTATAGTTTTACAAATACAATGAATACATCTATACTTAGAAAGCTAACCTGGCACAACCCTGGGCCCAGCCAGGAAGCCTAGTTTGCGAGCGTCCCAGGAAGGCCCAAGCCGGCCACACATATGGCCCCAAGACGGCTCTGGAGGGCACCAGAATGCAGGCCACCCCCAGTCCCGACCCCACTCCGGAACCCGCGACCCAGGGGGTCGGGACTGGGGGTGGGAGTGGCTTTTTGAAGCCCAAGAATGGTGAAAACCCACACCCACCCCCAGTCCCGACCCCTTGAATCGCCGTCTCGGGGATGGGAGTCGGGACTGGGGGTGGGGGTGACTTTTTGCCTTCTGACATGTGTATATATGGTGGCACACACATGCACATATATCTATATCTATATATATATACACATACGCATATGCATACGCATGCGAATTCGCATGCGCATGCGCACACGCACGCACACAGACATATACATACACTCATACGCACATGCATACACGTGCGTATATCCGCCAACGTGCCTGTAACACGAAGTGGAGTGTACCCAGACCCTTTGCTCACGGGCACGCAGGCAGGGAAACTGACTACAGCAGGAGCTCTGCCACAAGAAGCCTTCCACAAGAAGCCCAACCCCTGAGACCCCAGGACGTCCATGGATTGTCGTGGGCACGCCACGCTTCCCACGGAAAATCCGTCGAGACGCAAGAACACCAGGGCACCTGGGAGGCAACCAGGGTCTTCTGTGCCTCAATTCCCAAGTCAGAGGATTCTCTTATAGAGGCCCAGACACATTGCTCTCAAACGTTGCGACTGGCCTCGAATAGCAGGCGGCGCTCCGCAGATTGACCTCGAATCAAATGGTTGCGATTCCCTGGCCGCTCCGCGAATTGGCCTCGACCACCGAAGGCAGCTGCACACATACATGTGTATATATGTATGTATATAAATTGTGGTCATTGCTGCTGCTGTCGCTTCGCGTCTTGTTCTTCCCCTCTTATGTTGTCCTCTCCTCCCTGAAGCACGGGGCGTCCACTCGAACTTGTAAACAAAAGATGTGTGTATCCCCCAAAAAAGCATTGCACTTAGATGATCGTAGTTGTTTTCTAGAAGAGGAACTGGGCCTGCGTGTTGGACCGGCGGCTATGTCGCCGCCGTCTCCGCCCCGTCGCCGACTCGTCCCCGCCGGTCGTCTGGGCCTGCATGCTTGTCTGGCGGCTGTCGCCGCCGTCGTCGCCCCGTCGCCGCCAGTCGTCTGGGCTTGCGTGTTGGTGTGGCGGTTATGTCGCCGACGACGCCGCCCCGTCGCCGCTTCGTCACCGTCCGTCGTCTGGCCATTCGGGCTGAACTGGCGGTTCAGTGCTCGCTGTCGCCACCTCGTCGCCACCTCGAACTGACTGCACCGCATAAAATATCGCTTCAACAGAAAAATTGCAATCCCCCCAAGGAGTACCCGCACCCCGACGGGATGCGCAATTTACGCACGAGTCTGTGCCCATTGCGCGCGTCGGCCGCGCGCGCATGCCAAAATTTGTCCGAAACCTTCATCGCCTGCACGTGGATATCATCGTCGTCATCAGTGTGATCAGCGCTGTCATTGGCCTCGCCGTCGTCAATGTCATCCTCGTTGCCAACATCGCTACTATCATAATCGCGTCTGCCGTTGTCGACGACGCCATGATACCGCCCCCGCCTGAGTCACCAGCTCGCACTGAAGTATCCGCGCGTCAGCACGGCCTGCGAGCCGTGCTGGGAAGTGCCCAGCGGTCAGAGCCACCGCGGTCGCGTCGGTCGCGCCAGACTAGCTGGCCGCTCTGCGCGCAAGCCTGCGCGCGCTAGCGCGGCCGCAGCGTTAGCGCAAAGCAGCCATCGCAATCGCCGCCGCATGGGTTTTGTAAACAAAGATGCGGGTGGGTGGCTGGGATAATCTCGCGAGCAGTGGAAGTGATAACTTCAAGTTCGGCAAGGAGATGGCACCGCATAGATTGCGCCACATAGATTACACCACGTAGATTGCACCTCATATCTTACACCGCATGGATTGCACCACGTAAGAGTGCAAAACAGAGGTCGCACCATGAAGATTGCACCACATTGATTGCACAACACATGTAACTAGAAACACACTGTTTGGGGCGCTGGCCAACCACCTCTATATATATATATATACACATATATATATGGCTTTGGGGGCTTGCCGAGAAGCGTTGGGGACTGGGGGGAAGTTCGGGAGGCTCTGACGTAAGTCATCGGCAAGGTGGCACTAAACCTGATGGGGAGAGGGAGAGGGAAGAGAAGGAGGACCCCTCCCCCCTCCTCCTGCCCCAATTCCCCCCCACCCATCCTCTGCTCCTCCTCCTCCTCATGTTCCTCCCTGCTCTTCCATCCCCCACCCCCCACTCGTTTTCGCCAGTGGGAGCGCTTCTCCGTCTCCGCGGCTGAACGCGGCGCGGTGGATGGGTCGGGACGGCTCGGGGGCGGACGAGGAGGGAGGGCTGTCTCCGGCTCATCATGCGAACTGCACGCAATTGCTATGGTATGCCATGCCTCCCTGCGCTGCGATGTGCGGCGGCTGTGCTGCGCCATGGGACGATATGATACGCAGCAATCATTCAATCACACGGTTCGCAATGCAAACATCAGCCTAGGATATGCAACATAGTATGGCATGCGGTGCTAATCACTGGGCTGCACCTTGCTATGCTATGCCCTGTTCGGCTATGCAATGTCACGCTGTGTTAGGGTGTGATGAGGTGTAACATTGTATGCGATGGTACACATGTCGCCCTATGCTATGCAATGTTACGCTGTGCCATGTTACGCTACGCCATGCCAAACTATGATACCCAACGCAACTATACCGTGATGTGCTAGGCTGTGCTGTGTCATGTATTGCTATGCTGGCTAAGCTTTGCACTGGATGACATCCCATTGCATTATGTTGCGCGCGAGCGCCTGCAATTGCAACAGACGAGCCCCATGTATTGTTGGGGACTGTTGTTGTGTTCGCCGCGGGGGACAAGACAGATGACGCCTGAGGACTGGACGTAGGCGGGCGAGGAGGACAGTGGGGAGGCGGCATGCAGAAGCCATCTGCAACCACCACCACAAGGCCTCGCCAGGGCCGTCCCTGTCCCTGGCTTGGTGCAGATGCCCTCCTGGCCGAGGTGTGGTGGTGGTGGTGCCCTGCTACGCGCAATCGCACGCAGCACGGCGCATGCGAGCTTCGCCCTGCCCTCTTCCTGGCGGGCGGGCGGAACGGGCGGCGGGGCTAGCGCGGCCCGCCGAACGTTAGCGGGCGAAGAACGAACGGTACAAAAGAAAGCTGATCCGCCGTCGGTGCGCCTGCCCCCCCTGGCGACTCGACTATGTATACGCCTACGTAACACCGTGCGGGTGCAAACTTTAGAGGCCTCCTAGATGGGGTCGGAGTAGATGGGGTCGGAGGATCGCGCCGCATCGCCGATACATCGGCGATGCATCGGCGATGCATCGGCGATGCATCGGCGATGCATCGGCGATGCATTGGCGATGCACTGGCGATGCATCGTCGACGTGGGCGATCATCGGCGACGCCGGCGCGGAGAAACTCGGGCTCCGCATCGAGCCGCATCGGCGATGCATCGGCGATGCGGCGCGATCCTCCGACCCCATCTACTCCGACCCCATCTGGGAGGCCTAGAAACTTGCCAGCCGCCTCGACGGCGGCAAAGTCTACCCTATGCTTGGGCGCCCGAGTTATCCGGGGTAACTCGGGTCCGGGGTAACTCGGGTTTGGATTCCCGAAAAGGAACCCGAGTTAGCCCTGACCCCAATTACCCCTGATGATTCGGGGCTCTGGACGCCCGAACTATCCGGGGTAACTCGGGTCCGGGGTAAGTCGGGTTCGGATTCCCGAAAAACGAACCCGAGTTAGCCCTGTCCGCGGACGGGCGACGGACCACCGAGGGCGCCCCCCGCCCCCGAGAGCGAGCTGGCCACGCGGTGGCAGCGCGGGGCGCCACGGGCGCGAGCCAGCCCGGCACGATGGACTCACGCACGGGTGGGTCTCCCAGGGCACCTCCGATGGCAACTCATGGGAGCCTTCCATACCATCTTGCTGGCTCTTGCGAACGGACCCTGATCGACTCTAGATCGACGCTGGATCGACGCACATCGACGCTCATCGATGCTAGAACGGCGCTTTCTCGTCGATTGCCAGACGCCAGCGCACGTTAGTGCACTCTAAAAATGCAATTTCGACGACACATAAGGCTCCCATGATTCTCTACCGAAGGCACCTGTACTAGGGGACCCGAAGCAATATCAATGACACGCTGACAAGGGGAAAACATCGGCGTGGTACTGTTGAGGGAGCAGCATTACACCTGACGCGTGACAAAGGTATCCTGACAACAACGACGGAACCACTCGCTGACGGACTCGCAACGGCGGATTGCCATTCATACTCGTGTCCCTCCCAGGTAGTGGGGGAGATGCTAAAACAGAAGGCAAGAACCCTCTGGGCAAGACCAGTTGGAGAGGATCGCCCGTAAACCGAAAGGCGCCAGAAGCGAGCTGGCAGGCTCAGACCTTCCTGGCAACAACTCAGGCATCACCGTTGGCAGCGCACGCCCGACGCGAGTCGGCACGCATTGAGTGAGCGTCTTGGCAAAATTGTTGTTTTTCTCTGCGCGTCGGGTCTGTGTTCCGTAACGAGTCTCTGGGCGGTCAGCCCCCCCCCCAAGCGGGGCGAGCCTGGGACACACAAAGAAATACACACAAATCCCAGGAGTCCCCTATATGTTCCCATATGTCCTGGATTTTCGTCTTCCCCCCCACTTCCCAAATTTTCCCATACTTGCCTGGGAGTCGACGATCAATTGTGTCTGTGTGTGTTTTTCCCCTCCCGATCAGGTGCTCCTGACAGAGGGGTCCACAGCATTGCGGTGCCGCCAAGTGCAGGTAGCCAGCGCGAGCACCAGCACGCCTGCGCGCGCGGTCCAAGGCCAGGGGCCGAGAGCGGCGGCGGTGGCACTGCTGCCCAGGAAGTACAGCGCGGCAAGGAGCGCCTGCAGCGCGAGGAGCCCCAGCGGCGCGGGCCTGAAGCGCGGGTCCAGGAAGAAATAGAGATAGACGCCAGTCATGCACCAAAGACCCCAGGCAAAGATCACATACGCACTGCCGTACAACATCATAATGGGAAGATGGTCGAGAACAGCTCGGGGTGCCGCGAGGCCGCACTCAATGGCGGCGGCGATGCAGAAGCCGTTGTGCAACGACAGCGACTTCCACCGCGTCATCCAAAATAACGTTTCGAATTTGCCCTGCTTGTTCATCATGGGAATGAGCACCGCCGTGACGACAATGTTGATCAGGAAGGCCATCGGGAGCGTGATCTCCCAGAGCACCTCTTGGGCCACGCAGAGCGGTCTCGGCACGTTCTGACCCGACCTCACTAACATGCCCACGGCAGCCGCCACCCAGTAGTACAGCGTCCCCAGGGTATTGATTGGCGGCTCGCACAGGGGGTAGGGGCAGGGGAAAGGCTTGTTGGAAGGAGGCTGCTTCTTAGAAAGCGCGGGCCTGGTCTACAGATGTAAGCCGGCGCCTTCTAAGCACCAGCCTCCTTCTAAGGAGCCTTTCCCCCCTCCCCCATATCCCCCCGGTGGGCGCCGCCAACTTGGACCACAGCGTGAATGCGATCCAGCGACCCATCCCACGGAAACTCCGCCGACAGGAAGGGATATCGGGGCGGCCCACCACGGCATAATCCACGACCAGCGGCCTGGGCTCGAGGTACGACAAGGCCAGAACGACGGTGAAATACAGCGCCGCGGCAATATCAAAGCATAGCGCTGGCACCTCCGCGGCCTTGGGGTTGCAGCGGTAGTCGCCCTCTTTTGCGAACAGCCACCAGAGAGCCCCCGCCACGTATGTGATAAGGATCAGGGAGCAAAGGATCCAATTTCTCAGCTCGTATGGCTGTGCTGGCACCGCCCCAAGCTCATGATCAGCGTCAGGAGCCATATTGAAAACTGGGGGAGAGCTCGCCAGAACAAAAAAACATCCAGCACTCTGGAGCCAGAATGAATACAGAACCTTCTGGCAGGATCGTCGGACACTACCCCGGCGACGCGGCCTGCACCACAAAGACCAGAAGCGAGCCGGCACGCTGGACAAAAGAGCTTCCCGCGCAGAGCGCTGGCAGTGCGATGCCAAAAGGGCAGCGAGCTGGCACGTCCGGCGCGAAGTTCCCGGCAGAAGCGGCGACCGCGCAAGTTGCGGTGGGAGTGGGCACGCTCTCGAGTCCAACGGCCGGGGCACGGGAGGCGCGCCGAGGTGCATCTGAGCGACGAAAAAGAAGCGGCCCTTACGCGCGATGGCGTAGCCACCTCTGGGGATGGTTTACGCGGGCCGCCAGCGCAGCACGCTACATTTGGAAACGAGGGCGCTTACTCGCGACCTTACGCGGGTAACTTGCCCGCGAATGCCGGCGCAACCGAACCCGCTTTTCTGTGTCGCTCAGACCACTGTGGGCAAGCAAAATCACAAACACAGTTGTCAGGATTCATGGGGATCTTTGGCTGGTTTCCGAAGTCTAAAGTCTGTAGTTCAACGCAAGCCCCCCTCCCAGAAGCCCCGAGGTGCCACCGAGATCGCCACAATGGCCTGACAAGACCCCGAGATGACCCGCAAGAAGCCCTCCGAAGACGTCAGAATGGCCCAAAAAGAGCGCCTGAGACGGCCGCAAGGAAGCCCGCTGAGTCCCCAAGATGTCCCTTCCCCTTCCCTCCCGCTGTCACCCTTCCTCACCCGGGCCTAGAGGAGGATGGGGGAAGTGGTGCGACGGTCAGGAGGTGACGAGGAAAGAGGGAGGGAGGGGCCTGGGAGGGAGGATGATACGGCTAGTCCGTTTCATGACGACCCCGGCGCTGGTTTACGAAACAATGTGGAACGCGTGATGTTATAGGGGAACAATAAGTGACATAAAGACTCGGAGGTCCGCGCGGATTTCTCGGATCGGCGCTGGACCCCTCTCCCTGGCGCGCGGAGCGCGCAAGGGGCGGCGCCGGAGGCGCCGCCGGGGGGCCCCAGCGCCGATCCGAGAAATTTGCGCGGACCTCCGAGTTTTTATGTTTGTGCCACTTATTGTTCCCCTATGTTAGCAATCGAGCCAGATCGTTCCACGTTTGCCGATGTTCGACTCCTGGCGGCGCTCCACGTGAACGCCGTCACTGGGGTCGCAGCCGCATCAGCACGACACGACCCGCTGTACGCAAGGGCGGGGGGGAGAGAGAGAGAGGAGCGCACGCGGATGGATACCAAGGCAGTCCCGACTGCCGGGGGTGATAGAAGTTCCCAACTCGTCGCTCCGAGTTGAATCTGAAGCCGCGGTGGCCTCTGTGGAAATCCTGGGGACTACTAGGGCCAGATATACCGTCTGTAACGTCGGAGAACGAATGACAAAAAGGGGCAGTGGGAAGAAAAGAACCGGAGACGTTGCACGCGCCATGTTCTTCACCAGCCAGTGGAGCACCGTCTGGCAACTCCGGCGGCTCAGGCTGTCCTTCGCATCAATGTACAAGCGGTCTTTTGCAATCTCCAAATCCGCCACGGTGCCTTGGGCACATAGTGAAGTGCCTCAAGGCTCGTACAATTGTGAGGGAGGAGTAGGACGCCCATTAAACCTGACCTGATACATCGATTTAAGATGTTCGCGACACATCGGGGGAACGTTCCAAGAAATTCTTGTGTGCCCGAAGCATACTGGAGACCCAGGAGGCCCCTGGGGCAAGGTGATGGTGCAGGCCAGAGGCCGTTAGATACAGGGAGGACAGGTTCTGCAACAGATCCAGCATGGACTTGTTGGCTCGGCCGAAGGCATAAGTGTCGTACGCCTCAGTCGTCTTCTGCGTGCTCCCACTCCGTGGGTCGTTCTTGACTTCACCGTCATCATTCTCCCGTCCCGTTGATTATTCTGCCAATCCTCAATATCTAGCAAATCCCCTGACCATTTCCCCCTTCATGTCCGGTACTGTCCTCCCTTGCCTCTCACTGCTCTCTGAGGGCGAGTACAACGAGAAGAGGGAGGAGGACGAAGAGCATGAGCAGTCGAGGGCGGGGACGGCCAAGGAGGGGCAAAAGAGAGGAGGGGGAGGGGAAGGAAGAGGAAGACGAGGTGGAAGAGGGGAAGGACAGGGGCGAGGGAAGGAGGGAGGCATGAGGAGACGGGGTGGAGGAGTAGCAGGGGGGGGCGGGTGAACAGCAGGGGCAGTGCCAGGAAGAGAGGGATACTCAAGAAGAGCAGGAGCAGTCGCAGAGAGAGAGAGAGAGGGAGAGAGAGAGAGAGAGAGGGGAGGGAGCGAGAAGGAGAGAGATAAAGAGCGAGAGAGAGAGGCCCCCCCACACGAAAAGACGAGGACGAGGGGGGCGGAGGAGGGCAGAAGCAGACCTCGCCCCTCCCACTCTCGACAACCATCCCAACCCTCCGCCTCACACGACCCTCCCCCTCTCCGTCCTCCTTCCCCTCGCTCCATCCCTCCCTCCCTGCTACCTCCCCGTGGTCGCCGTCGTGCCCCCCCCCCCCCTCTCCCAAACCACCCCTCGGATGCTGTCCGCCCCTGTCGCGCAGACTCCGAGCCCCTTCCCCTCCCGTCCTCTGCCCACGGGTCCCCTCCCCGCCCTGCCCCTGACCCGATCCTCCTCCCCCCCTCCCCCCCCCTTCAGCACTCCCCGCCCCTCCGTGGGCCTCCTCCGCCCGCCCGCCGCTGCCCTCCGCCCTACCCTGCTGCCCCCCGCTGCCCGACGCTGCCTCCCACGAGGCTCGGCGCGGCCGTGCGAGGTGCCGCGTGGCCCCCGTGGAGGTGCACCACGGCTGGGCGGCCCCGGCCGCGTGGCGGCAAGGCTGCTCCGGCGCTGACGGCCTGGGAGCACAGCCTGTGCCCCCGCTGACGCGACGTTGTGCACACGGCTCCCGCGCGCAGAGTCTCCATTCCCCCCCCGCCGTGCGGCGCCCTGCCCTGGCAGGCCTGCGGGCTTGACCACAGCTGCCACCACCAAGACCGGAGGACACCTCTATCGAGGGAGGCCCGGTGGTGACTTCACGACCAACCCCCCCTGGACACGGCCATGAGTGAGGGGTTGCCCAGGGCCTTGAAAGAGCGAACCCGGGACAGACTCAGTCCTCCAGAAATCTGGGCCTCCGAGGGCCTCGGGGGGCCCCTCCGAGGGATCCGCGCGGACGCGCACGCGAACGCGCGCCTCCGACATGTCCTGGAACGTCCTCTCCGCCTCCAGGATCTGGTACTGGTCGATTAGGGGCATGTCCCCGAATCCCACCCCGTGCTCCGCGGGGTCGAAGTCGCTGATGTTGCCTAGCAGAAAACGGAAACGATTGCGGAGTTTCCGGTAGTTCGTCGCCACGCCGGTCAGGATCTCGCCGCTGATGGCCACGTCATTGGAGTAATCAGTCCTGTGTGTAACCGCGGGTTTGAAAATTGTGTGTGCGCGCGAAAACCGACGACACATGCACGTCGACCCCATCTCGGCGCAACACCCCGCCACATTGCGGCACCAACTGGGCCGCCAGACGAGGGGCCACCAGGGCCCAACAAACAACGGGAATGCAATCCTGCGACGAGCACCCGTGGAAAGGCCCAAAACGGCCGACCCACAACACCTACAGCACACCGCAAGTGTGTGCCCAGGGGGGTTCTTCTCTGCCACGCCTGGCCATCTGATCCACGCGAGTCGAAGCGACCCGGCGCTATCCGAAGACCTCCGCGCTGTCACGAATTGTCCGAAGTTCCACCGGGCTCTCGTCGCGAACGCGTCAGCTCTGGATCCTGACACCGCGTGGATCGTTGAACCTTGCACCGTCGCGGCTTTCGGATAACGCAAGGCGCTAGATGTCATCCGATCCTGTGCCGCCAGCGCTGGTCAATCTCGAATGCCCGCGGAGGGGTCGACGACGCGTCAGTCCGGCACGGAATTACTATTGAAATCGGCACATCGCCCCCGCAACTGAACAAACAAATGAAGGGGCGGCGGGTTCGTCGACACTTGTGGGGCTCTGAAGAAGCTCGCCGCGGGCGCCAAGCTTTGACTAAAAACGTCGCTGCGAAACCACGGCGAAAGGCCGCATTGATGTGGGTGTGTCGCGGGCGGGTCGCAAGTGGATCGCGGGCGGATCAGACTGACATACAGACAAACAGACAAACCATGCACAGGCGGGCAACGCAAGGAACACGGGGCCCGCGGGAAAGCGAGGAACCGAGGTGCGGGAGGGGGGGGGGGGAGAGGGCCAAGAGAGGAAAAGACACGGGGCCGACAGGCGGACACAAAGAAGCGGAGACGGGAAGGGGAAGACAAAGAAACGGAGGGAAAGCACACAAGACAAAGGGCAAATAAGCACAATAGCAAGGGGGGAGGACACGGAGAGGGGGAGACAGGGGAAAAGGGGGGGGCCGAGAGCCAGAGACGGGGCAAGGATGGAAAAAAAGGACACACAAAACCAACTAGCATAACGAAAGCGGAGCAATCATGGAAAACGCGCTGTCGGCATCGGCGCCCCCCGAGCTCAAGGGCGCAGCCACCGCCGCACCGCCGTGCGCGCGCGCCGCATGCTTGCCCATTTCGGGGGGGACCTCTTTGCACGGGCGGCCCAATCGCCTCGTGGAACTCTCCGTGTCTGGCCTCGCTCCAGCGGCGAACGAATGGGCGCGGAGTGGATGAACTGGGTCGGCGCAAAGATCTTGGACGACAAGCTGTAGTTGCCGAGCAGATACTGCGCGCTGGCCGCCTCGCATCCAACTCTAACTAGGACGCCCTGGCCGGAAGGCGCAATGCGCGCGACGGTGTCATTCCGATGGCCCGCCAATCGTACCATCCCCGAAAGCCGTCGAAACGACGCAGCCGCGCCTCGGCGAAACACGCGCTGCTGAGCCCGCGCAGCAAGTTCCGCGCAGCAGCATCGGCCTGGCGATTGATGCGTCGATGTGGAGCCCGCGATTCCACGTCAGAGATGATCGGGGCCACCACTCGCGCAGGGCCGCGAAAGGATTTCGGCTTCCCCGATGTGTCTGCCCAACTCGCGTTTCATGTTCGCGTCGGCCGCGATGTGCAAACCGGGTGTTGCACGTGCTCCGCGCGCTCATCCGGCGAAACGCCAAGGGCATGGATGTCGCTGGCCGACTGCGCCGCTAAGACTTGGAACTTCTGCCAGCACAGCCCAATGCCAGACCGCTTGCGCGCGGCAACCACGGCTGCGAACAAATCGCTCGCGCGTGCGTCGCGCGCCCCCTGTCAGGGGGCGTCGTCGGCGCATGCGCAGTCGGAAAGCACGCCCGCGTCGCGCGCCTAGTGGGCCCCGTTCAGCGAGCAGCGCCAACGCGTCATGCAGCGCGGCTTTGATCACGAGAGCGATCAGCTGAGGGCCCAGCGCGCCGCCTTGAGTGATGGCAAATACACGCGGGCGTTCAGACGATTGACTCCCTCTGTCGCTGAGGGCGGATCTTGCGTCGCGAATGGCCCCGCAGTGCTCGCGCGGGGGGCCCGCCCGGCGAGGCGCGTCCGGCGTGCTCCCCATGCGAAAGCTAGCGAAGGCCTCCGTCCAATCCAAAACGACCAGCTTTGAGGCACCGCGCTTGCGCGCTCGCGCCTACTCGGCCCGCCGGCGCGCGACGAAGATGGCGCTCTGTGTGCCGCGCCCATTCCGGAAGTCAAACAGAGAGTTGCAGATGCGTCCATCCACGCATGCAGCAAGCACGCGGTTGTGCAACATCGCGGAAAATGCACGTGGAGCTACGCGCTGCAAGGAGAGCAGCCATCCCAAATGAAGCGCGCAGGGCCGCCCTTCCCACGAAGCAAACAAACGCGAGATAGGGTCAAGACCTCTGGCGCGGCTTTCCAAGCCCCGCCGCGCATGTCCAGCGCCCGGCCACGTTGCCCAGGCAACTCTGCCAGCGCTTTGAGAATCCATGCGGCATGTCATCTGAACCACGCGCCTTGCCACGTCGCATCTTCGAAATCGCCTCGCGATGCCCAAGTTCTGTGGAAGGGCCGATATCGACGCCCAACAGCTAACTATCCGCCCCAGGCGCGCGGGCGAGGGGGCGAAAGCGACGCTGAATGGTGCTCACCTGTTAAGCGACTGCGTCGGCCCTCTCGTCCGCAGAAACACGCGCCCCTCCAGTGACCTCCAGGGCGCCCTTCAGGACGCGGCTTCAGTTTGGCTTCCTGCTTGGCACTGTTCCAGTAGACGTCTGCTGCCAGGGCCTCAGGCCCCGCAGAACGATCGCGACCCGCCGACAGATGGCGCGCTTGCTCATGACCTTCCCCGCCCCCTAGCTGCCGGAGCGGCGAGCGCCCCGCTTTCTGCGAGCGACGACAGCGTCGTCTGCGAGATCCACGGCTTGTTCGGCGGCTTGGGAGCGTCGAGGACCACCGCAGACACTGCTTGGCGCGCCCGCCCTGCAGCCTATCGCCAGCGCTGCATCTGCGCATGTCCCCTCGGTTGCGGCCGCGACTTGTTCCGCGAGATGTTCCCTGGTCTCTGGCGCGCGCAGCGTCCGCCCATCCGCAGCTACGTTGAAATTCTGGCTCTTTGTCAAGAACCGAAGCAATAACAGGAAATCGGCCCGATGCCAAGGTCGCGGACAGAGCGCCCCCGACATCCACGCGGCCCTGCCCCGCGGTGCCCAGAATGGTCAGCACGCCCAAAAGGTTGACAATCCCCCTGTGACCGGCGAGTTCGACTTGACGCCTGCCTCGTGGAACGTTGCCGCAAGGATGCCAGGGAGATGCAGCGCCGCATTCGACGCCAAGAGGTCGAACGTCATGCACAACTCAACGAGCAAGTCCTGCTTTGGAAATTCAACTGGCCTGGTCGCCTCCCTTCCAGAACTATACTCGCATGACGCATCACTCCCAAGTCCGTCAACGACCGCGACGGGAGTTCCAATCGCCAGAGAACTCACACACACACACACCAACCATGCCGCAAGTACGAACAGCGCGGTTGCGCGGGACGTCGCAGAAGCGGATATTATCCTTAGGCGGCTTCTCGCTGCGGGGCGTGCATGTTGCGCAGATAGTGGGTCAGCCGCTGGATATGCGGAACTGCAGGTGGCAGTCCTCTTGGCCATCTGCCAATCACCTTGTGCAAAACTTCCCGCCCACGGAGACACCGCGAATCCAACCCCGGCGTGTTCTGGAATATCGGCGGGGGTGCCGGACAAAATGACCAGGCACCCGCTGTCCTCATCGACGTCCGCCACCGTGCCGCTGGGCGCGGGAGTGGGCGCGTCGTCCGGTCCTTTGCCTACGCCCTGAGACCTCAGTCCTGTCCTGAGCAGTCTCTACAGGGGCCCTGACTCCAATTCTGAAATCTACCAGGTTCTGTCGCACGCGGGCCCGCAGACGGGCCAAGAGGGCCCCACGAGGCCCCCAACGCGGTCCGAGAGGGCCCCGGATCGCCGCTCGAAAACGCCCAGGATGGCCCCAAGGTGGCCCAAAACGCTTCCAAGACGCCCGAAGATGCCTCCAAGAGGCCTCCCAAGAGGGCCCCAACAGACAAAAACCATAATGTTCCTACGGTGTTTGGAGCATTTGAGCGTTCTCGCCTTCTCGGCGCTCCGACGCTCCAAAACGTCCCACAGGCCCCAAGACCATCCCAAACGGCCCAAATAACCTCCACGAGGGCCCCAAAACTGCCTAAGAGAGCACCAGAAGGCGGCCCAAGAGGCGCCCAAAACGGCCAAACAAAGGAAACGCCAAACAAAGGAAACGAAACGAGCAAACGCGACCAACAAAGGAACGATCATTGCGCTCCAAAAAGCCCCCAGAAGGCCCCGAGAGGCACGCAGGAGGCCCCAAGAGGCCCCAAAAGGCCCCCAGGCAGCCAAAAACAAGCCCACGAGGCCTTGCAACGGCCCCGAAGGCGCCTCCAAAACTACATCCAACAGGCCCCCGAACGGCCCCCCCACCAGATCCCAACGAACATCCACCAAGCTCCATGCCCACAACCCCAAGCACGGTGGCGGGATGGGCCGAAGGCCGTTCGATCTTGTCTGAGTTCGAAATACGTGTTTTTTTTGTAAACACATCACATGAATCCCCCCGCCGTCTGTAGATAACGATCAGTTGCACCCAGTGAAGAAACCTGTGCGGCGTTGTACGCTCCAGCGCTGTCCCTTCACGAAGTTTCCACGAGCGTGGCCCTCACGACACGTCGCGTCCTCACTGCTGGCAGCAGCGCGTGGTGAAACGCGTGCTCTGCCCATGCGCCGCCCTGCCCCCCAATGGGACACGGGCCCCTTGCCCTTGCTCTCGCTCCAGCCGGAGGCTTTCGCACTGGCAAGCTTGTCCTGGGCTTTCGTCGCGATCTCGGAAAGCTCTGGCGCCGTCAAGACCGCGGGCCAGGAGGCCCGTTCCTTGTCCGATGCACCGTCGACAAGAAAGATTGGGCCACCAGGATCGCCGACCTCCCCGTGTCAGCTTTGATGCACGCTTTGCTGGACCCCGAGAGCAATCGTCGTAACCCAAATAATACGCTGTGCTAGGTACGGGTGCGGATCGGTAGGTCAGGCTTCGCCCGCACCGCGCCCATGCCTGGAGTCTACCTCGCCTGCACATCCGAAGAAAATTCGATGAAGAAAACGCAGCCGAACGCCGTTTGGAACATGTCCCGCGATGCGGGTGGGGAAAGACCATGATCACGCCATCAATCAGTAGCCCACTGCATCGCTTCCTCGAAGGAGTCGGCGTTGGGGACCTTGCCAGGACGTTGCCAGCAACTGCTGTCGATGTGAAGGGAGATGTCGCTGACCTCGCTGTACGTGGGGTCGATCACCGGGATAGCGTCTCATCGAGCATCTTCGGCACGTCGTCTTTGGTCATCGCAGCCTTATGGGAATCAGGGATGGATGCATCGATAATGCTCTGCACGGTGCCCCTGGTGATCATCTCCTGCACCTCCATTTCTCTCGCATCCGTCTCCTTCGCAATGTCTGCGGCCTGCTGCGCTTCGGCCTTGGCATCCTCAACCCCCTTCCTCACTGCGTTCGTATCCTTCGTCATCTTCGTCATGATTCCCATCATCATCGTCATCATGGACTTCATGTCTGGGCCATCGCTTTCAAAACCAGTCGTACCCTTATCCCCAGTGCCCCTTGCTGCCTGGCTGAAGTCTAGCTGCCAAATGGGTGACCTCGGCGGAAGAAGCCGACAACAACAAACAGACAATAATAAGAACCCCCAACGCGGAAGCCTACTTCAGGCACGCACCCAAGGATGGTGTAAGACCGTTCAACCCCCAAGTCTCGGCGAAATCGGCTCATAATATGTCTACTCCCGACACTCCCAAAGCTCATCCGTGCAAATTCAAGAAGCTGTCATCCCGCACCCATTCCAACGACCCCAAAAAACTGACGAGCAACCTCGTCAACGCAGCGCGACCCCCCATCAAAAAAACAGAGCGGCGCTCGTCGGGACACAGACGGTGCTCCCAGGTTCCACGCGGGCCGGTCCCGGCCACCCAGTAGCGCAGCACGTCCGCCCCGAGCGGCGGATCCTTCTTCTGGTTCTGGCCCCCGTTGATGATGTCGTACGGGTCCACCACGTTCCCTGGTGGGGCGGCGGGGGCCCCCCGAGGCCCTGCGGGAGGCCTCTGCCCGAGACCCCCTCCGGAGACCTCGCCGGCGCCAGCATGGCCACGGCGGGCTTACGCCGCGAACGGCGCCGGCCTTGGCGCCGGACACCCCGTGGACGGTTCGACCTTGAACGACCTGCGGCTTCCCGATCGCCAGGCCGTCCCACACTGGCCGACTCCGGGCCACTGGCGGCGTTCGGCCTCGATCGCCCGCGCGGGCCGCTGCCGCGTCGGCACGGCACGAGCCTGCCGTGGCGTGCAGGCCGTCGTGCAGGTCGTTCGACATCGGGTGCTTCCGGGCGGCTGGCGGCGTGGGAAGTCGAACGCTCGCGCCGGGGTCCCCGCAGCGGTAACGCGGCGCAAACCTGCCACAGACGGCGCCCACATCGCCGATGCATCGGCGATCTAGCAGCGAGTCCGAGCTCGAGAGAAGTCAGCCTGCAGCGCAAGGTGTCCCTGCGGAGGCTCCTGCGGAGGGCCCCACAAAGGCCCAATATCATCGCAGGAGGGGCCGTCCGAAGGACGCCCTGGCCCAATTTGGGGCGGCCTGGACCTATGGGCTGTCTCAGGGGCTGCGGCAAGGCAAGCGGGACATGTATATATATATATATATATATATATATATATATCACAACGAAGAGGAGGAGAGATGGACGGGGGAGGGGAGGTATGTACTATAAGAGGAGGAGGAGGACGAGGAGGAGGAGGAGGAGCAAAGGGAAAACAGGAGGAAGAGGAGGAATCATCAACCCAGCCCACCCGAACCCCTGAAACAGTAAAATAGACATCTGGGTGGTGGTCCGCGGCGGCGGTGGCGACGGCTGCGGCCGTCGGCGACAGCGGTGACGACGACGGCAGCGGCCATCGGAAGGCCTATGGACTTGCTCATCTTCCTGCCCTGCCCGTCCAGGCAGAAGCCGTGCGTGATGACCCGCTTGTAGGGCGCCTTTTTGGACGCCCGACATGGGTACCGAAAACATGGGTACGATGCCCAACAACAAATGTTGTCCCAAACCATCAGCGGCCGCTGTTGGGCAGGCGGCCTTCTGTCTCAAATGTACACAGGCCGCGGCGACACCGACAGCGAGTCCTGTTCAAAATGAACAGGAACCGCTGTTGGGCATTGTACCCACTCTTTCCGTACACATCTCGTTCGTGCCGAGCCTTGCCGCGGCACGCCACGGAGGTGATCAGGGACGACTGGAACCAGCCACGGTGCTGATCGGACCCCTCGAGGTAGAGGTCCTCAGCGGGCAGGCAGGCCCGTCGAGGCGGAAAAGGGCCCCCCTCGGACCACGCCGGCGTGGAGACCCCCCGCCCCCAGGGAGGTGAGCCGGCGGCCTCCGCGAGTCTCTGGAGGCAACGCTGGGGAGAAGGACTTCGAGCAGACGCGATGACGAGTGAGAACGACGAACAGGTCGCCACGAGCCTGGCAGGAAGCAGCATACTTTGAGCGAGGCCCTCGGACGCGGAACGGTCTCGATGAATACGCAACGCACATAGAGGCCTTCCATATGGGATCCGAGAAGATGGGGTCGGAAGGTTCGCGCCACATCGGCGATGTCGGCGATGCATCGGCGACATCGTCGTGGACATAATCGGGCTCCGCATCGAGCAGCATCGCCGAAGCATTGGCGATTTGGCGCGAACGCCCGACCCCATCCACTCTGACCGCATCTGGAAAGCCTACAGGAAGACGGAGACATGAACAAAAATGTGTGACAGTCCGCGCTGATTTTTTGGATCTGCGCTGGACCTCCTCCGTGGCGCGCGCGGAGCGCGCCGGGGGCGGCGGCGGAGACGCCACTAGGGAGGTCCGCGCACAGCCAAGAAATCGGCGTGGATTGTCGAGCATGTATGTTCAGGGCGTTATTCATCGGGCGTCGGCAGAACTGGGTATAGTGGGACCTGGTTTAGTGATGTGTACTGGGGGACGCCCCCCCCCGCCCCATTCCACTAATCGGAGCTGCCGTCACCCGAAAAAACACCAGCTTCGGCAGACCCGGTTCAGTGATTCTGGCCAATTTAGGGGCTCTGGGGCCCTACTACTCACCAGGTCCCCTTACCTAGGGTCCACCTAGGGTCCTGGCTATGCCTGAATTCATTTCTTCTGAGCATCGTCCAACCGATCCCCATCCCACCGGCGTGGCCTGGAACCCTCTCCCCGACTCAATGACCCCCCCCTAGATGGGGATATAGGCTGTTCCCTTCAGGCTTCGAGGGGCAACATTCCCCGACTGGGGTGGGATGGTGGGGATCGGGACATGGGGATCGGTTCAGCATAATCAGCATCATCGAAAGCTTATGTTCACGCCGCTTGTTCTTTGTCGAGTTCGTCGGAGCGGGGCCAAGCCGCGCGCCCCGCGCTGGCACACTGTCAGCTGGAATCCTCCTGCCGGAGCCGACCAGGCCCCCACCCCCGCCCAGGGGCAGAGGCTCTCCCACGGCATGCGTGACTTGTGGTGCGCGGCGTCAGGGGGGCGCGGAGGGGCCAAACCAGAGCACGCACGCCACTGCCATCGCATCGCTTTCAGCGATCGGGGAGCCCCAGTGGGCCCGCACCAAAGGTCACTCCTGCGAAGCGTCACTCGTACGTGTAGCCGATCCCTGCGGTCCGACCCTCCCCCGTCGAGGCCAGGCCCGGCCGGCCCGGGCCCGGGGCTCAGGGAACGCCATGGATCGCGCTCCCCGCGCCCGCTCCGAGGGTACCAACAACGGCAATATTCCGCACGCGGCGCGCTCTCCAAGAGCACGCATCTCGCACAGGAGCAGTGCTCCTGTGCGCTGTCCAGGAGGGCCCTCGCCGGCTGTGCTGCACAGCCGGCGAGGACCCTCCTGCCAGTGCCGACCGGGGCCCCTGGGGGCAGAGGCCCTCTCCCTCGGAGGCGGAAGCTCTCTTCGCGCCCCGCCCACCGCCTGCCCCGTCGGGGCCAGGTCCCAGGGCCCGGGTTCGCAGGGAAGGCTGGCAAGCCTCGGCCCTCTCAGGGGTCCCGCTTCCCGCGCCCGCGACGCCTGGGGCGCAGCAGGGCACGCAAAAGGGGGTGGGGGGAAGGAGGAGAGCAGGAACACGAGGGAGGAGGAAGATAGCAAAACAAGGAGGAGGGGACGACGACGAGAAGAGGAAAAGAACAGGAGCACAAGAGGAGGAGCAACAAACGGCACGACCTGCCCGGTGTCCACTCCCGCGACGGGGGTGCACGCCCCCCTGCTCGCGGAGCTCGTCGGCCTGAGCGACTGCGTGGGCGAGGTCAGGGGGCCCCTGCCCTGGATAACGCGGAGCGCCCGGCCCCGCGGCACAGCATCCCGCCCTGCGCGCCCGACTGGCGAGAGACTAGGCGAGGACGAGGAGGATGGCGGACGAAGAGATCGGGAGGAGGACGAAGAGGAGAATGAGACGCCGCTTCAGAAGTTCCAAGGTCGAAGGATCTCTTGGCCACGGAGGAGAGTCCTCGCGTTCCGGAGCGATGGACGGCGACGAGGCGGTTCAGAACAGCTGGCGGGAGGACCCCAGGTCCTCCTCCTCCTCCTCCTCCTCCTCCTCCTCCTCTTTCTCCTCTTCTCGTTCCTCCCTCCGCCTCCTGCCTCCTCTCTTTCCCCTTCTCCTCCCTTGGCCTCCCCCTCCCTCCGCCCTCGTCTCTTTCTCCCCCACTCCTCCTCCACATCATCTTCCGCATCCTCCTGCCCTCCCCCCTCATCCTCTTCTTCCTCATCCCCCTGACTTCTCATCCTCTTTTCCCCCTCATCCTCCTCCAACCCCGGGCGACGACGACGACGACTACGACGACGACTCAGCGGCGGAGGTCCAGCTGGTCTGGCGACCCCAGGTCCTCCCTGACGGCGGCCCAAGACGAGCCCGAGTCGAACCAGACGTCCATCGTGTCGGTGCCCTTGACGTACTGGTCGGCCACAGCCTTTCAAAGGTGTCCCACTTAGGTCCTGCTAAGACGTCGCTCCGATGGGGCTCCGAGTAGCTCACGAAAATGGCGCCTGTTGCGCAGTTGACATCACCCAGGCAGGGCGGGGTTCCACTTGGGGCTCCTTAGGACGTCACAGCGCTCGGCCTCTCAGGAGCTCACGAAAGCGGCGATCAGCTGCGCAGGTGGCAGCACCCAGGCAGGGCAGCTGCGCAGTTGGCAGCCTCCAGGGAGGCGAGGTCCCTTGTCTGGGCTCGCGTGGGACGTCACTCGGCTTGACCTCCCAGGAGCATACAAAAAAGGCGACATCTGCGGACCTGGCGAAGTCCCTTTTGGGTCTCCGAGGGACGTCACTCCGCTGGGCATTCCAGGAACTTGCGAAGTGGTGGACACGCAGGTTGTTACAAGTGTTCGTGGCCTCGGAAGCGCGGATCCATGGTTCGTTCTTCAGAAACGTGGCATCAGTAGCGTTGTATCATTTACTATTTCTTTGGCTAGGGATCGTGGCTTCGGATCGTGCTTTACACATGATCGTGGCCCCTGGAGCGCCCATGTGTTTTGAGACGAGGCGTCGTGGGCTCGGGCGCGAGGATACATAGTTCTGTGAATAGGGATCATGCCGTATTGGGTGCCGTATATAGAACCATCGCGCGCGCTTCGCGCGCGCTCAAGTTCTAGCTATATTGAAGGGCAGCGCGTAGCGAAGGATAGCGCGATGCTGCTCTTGGGCCGTCTCGGGGCTCTCTTCGAGCCTATTTTGGGCTGTTGGGGGGCCTCTTGGGGCCTCTTGGCGGCCTCTTAGGGGCCTCTTGAGGACTTCCTGGGAACCTCTTGGGGCCTTTGGGGGGCATCTTTGGGCGGAGAGCTTGAGTTTTCAGTTCACGTTCCCTTTCTTGGGCCCCTCTTGGGGCCTTCTTGGGACCCTCTTGCGCCGTCTTGGGCGGATCTGGAGCAGTCTTGGGGCTTTCTTGGGCCGTCTTGGGGGCCTCTTGGGCCGTCTTGGAGCGGTTTTGGGAGCCTCTTGGGCGGTGCTTTAGCGCCAGAAACACAAAACAGCGAGAATGCAACAAAACATTGGAAACTGACAATGAAAATCAACGATTTTGCCCTCTCGGGGCGCTCTTGGGCGGCATCTTAAAGGCCTCTTGGGCCGTCTTGGGGGCCTCCGGGGTAGTTTAAATGCATCGTGCGTTGCCAAAATCCCCTGGACGGCGTCTTGGGGGTCTCGCGACCGTCTAGCCGCCGGGATTGCTGTCCGAGGGCTCCCCGGGCCGATTTCAGGCTTCCCACAAGCGGGCCCGGGCTCGTGGCCCACATTTGCGGTCGAAGTTCCGGCCCTCGGCCCCCGGGCCTCGTGCGCAGTTATGTGTATATATATATATATATATATATATACAAGACTGCAGTGGCGCTTCGCGCCATGCACCTCGCGATAATTCCTTGCTGCCTTTTCTGGCATCGCCGCTATGATAATGTTATTCGTTATCCTTCCTCCATGCTTCATTTTCCTCATTTTCGCAATACCCTGCGAATTCTCCCCGTCCTCCTCAGCACTTTTTTTGCGGAGGCTCCTCCTGGGAGAGCCTCTGGGGGCCTCATAAAAATTTGTCCAGAGGCCTTCTGGAGGCCTCCTGGGCGTATTCTGGGGGCCTCTGGGGGCTTCCTCGGGCAACCCTGCCTCCAACCGCGTTCTCCCTGAACGACCGGGTCACGATTTGGAATGCTTCGGAGGGTGTCTTGGGGCCATCTTGGACCGCCATGGGGCTCTCTGACAGCCATCTTGGACCCGTGTTGTGCCTTTTTGGGCCTCTCTTGGACTGCCTGGAAGCCCTTTCGGATGGTTGTGGGGCGATTTGGGAGCCTCCCAGGCGTCTTCGGACGCCCAGAAGACCGCCGTCTTGGAGCGTCGGGAAGCCGAAAAGAGGAGAACACCCAAATTCACCAAAAACCAACAGAACATCTATGATTGTTGCCTCTTGGGGCCTTCTTGGGAGTGCTCTTGGAGGCCTCCCACTTGGGCCATCTTGAGGTCACGTCGGTCACTCTTGGGGCGCTCTTGTGCTGTCATAGGGGGTCTCTGAGACGTCTCCGATGACCCCCCTGATCGAACTAGGTGTGCTGGGAAGGCTTGGCAAAACGCCCTGCGAGGCCCGGGGGGCCGCTTCGAGGCCCGTCTGGAGGGTCCCAGAGCCCCAGATCCCAGGAGTCCGTTTTTATTGTTTGGGGGGGGTGCGGGGTTGTCCCGCCGCCCGGGTTTATTAAAATATAAGAAGAGGATATGTATATGTGTATATATATGTATATATATATATATGTATACATATATACATGCATGCATACATACATACATACATACATACAAACATACATACATACATACATACATACATACATACATGCATGCATGCATGCATGCATGCATGCATGCATGCATGCATGCATACATACATACATACATACATACATACATACATACACACAAACATACATACATACATACATACATACATACATACATACATACATACCTACCTACCTACATACATACATACATACATACATATACATACATATGTGTGTGCGAAACGGACTCCCGATTGTTTGGTTACCGGCCACGTGGTCCCAAATGTCCTCACGGCACTGGGGGCGGCGACCCCAAAACAAAACCATCCTCGCTGACTCTTTCAAACGGAAAGCCCTTACAACGAGTTCATGCCATTCGCTCCTTGTGGTTTTGATGCTCATTTGAAAATGTCTCTTGTAAAGGCTTGGACCGACGGCTCTCTTTGTGTGTTCGGGCCTTTGGTCCTAGACTGGAGGCGTGACGAGCAGGAACAGAAGGAGGAGAAGAGGGCTTTCGAACGGCACGTCCACAATTAGCCTGGCGAAGACCCCAACCATATGCAGCTGCGAGTAACGTAAATATTACCTCCTCATCATAGGCAGCGCGCCGCGAGAGGGATGGAGCACGGGGCAACGCGGATGGGAATCCCGAAACGTGTGCGGGGTGTGCCGAAGCGGGCTGGGGGACACAATGCGGGCGCTGCCACTAGGGCCTTCGGCGGAGCTCCCTATGTGCCACGAAACATCTGTGGGGTGCGCCGAAAACAAGGCAGAGGAAGGCGTACGAACCCTGCCACTGGGGCCTTCGGTGGAGCTCCCTATGGGGCCACGAAGCGTGTGAGGGTTGTGCCGAAGTGAAGCGGGGCCGCCATGCGAACCCTGCCACTGGGGCCTCCATTGGAGCTCCCTATGGGGCCACGAGACGTGTGAGGGGTGCTCCGAAACAGAAACATGCGGAGGGCAAGGGCACAGAGGCGGAGGAGGAGGAGGAGGAGGAGGAGGAGGAGGAGAGGAGAGGAAAGGAACTCGGGTACTGTCAAGATCTTCAAAACGAGGGCCCAACACCACAGGATGGTTTGGAACAACTTGAATGTTGGACAGAGGGTGTCAGATAAATATCGAAAGTGGTGTGGAGACATCCTCACGGCATGGGGATGTTGAAGGAGTTCTGTTCTCGACGTTGGTTATGAATTCACACGCGCGCCTGTGATTTCCTCAGCCAGATACCCTGGCGAAAGGCCTAACCATCTGCAATTGGGGGTACCGCATTTTGAATCCAGCTTTCGGTGGAGCGGGACACGCATTGTGTGAGGGGTGTGTCGAAATGAGACGGGGCCGCCATGCGAACCTTGCCACTGGAGCCTTCGGTGGAGCTCCTAATGGAGCCACGCATTGTGTGAGGGGTGTCGAAATGAGGCGGGGCCTCCATGCGAACCCTGCCACTGGGGCCTTCGGTGGAGCTCCCTGTGGGGCCACGAAACGTGTGAGGGTTGCGACGAAGTGGGGCGGGGCCGCCATGCGAACCCTGCCACTGGGGCCTTCGGTGGAGCTCCTTATTGGGCCACAAAGCGTGTGAGGGGGTGCGCCGAAATGGAGGCGAGGCCTCCATGCGAACCCTGCCATTGGGGCCTTCGGTGGAACTGGCTATGGGGGCCCGAGACGTGTGAAGGATGTGCCGAAATGGGGTGCGGCCGCAATGCGAACCCTGCCACTAGGGCCTCCGGTGGAGCTCCCTATGGGGCCACGAAGCGTATGAGGGGTATGTCGACATGGGGCGGGGCCTCCATGCAAACCCTGCCACAAGGGCTTTCGGTGGAGCTTCCTCTGGGGCCACGAGACGTGTGAAGGGTGCTCCGAAATATGTCGGGGCCGCATTGCGAACCCTGCCATTGGAGCCTTCGGTGGAGTTCCCTATGGGGCCAAGCGTGTGAGGGGTGTGTCGACATAGGGCGGGGCTTCCATGCGAACCCTGCCACTGGGGCCTTCGGTGGAGCTCACTATGGGCCACAAAACGTTTGAAGGGTGTTTCGAAATGGGGAGGGGCTTCCATGCGAACCCTGCCACTGGAGCCTTCGGTGGAGATTCCAATGGGGCCACGAGACGTGTGAGGGGTATGCCGAAAAGGAAGCGAGGCCGCCATGCGACTTTGCCACTGGGGCCTTCGGTGGAGCTCCCTGTGGGGCCACGAAACGTGTGAGGGTTGCGACGAAGTGGGGCGGGGCCGCCATGCGAACCCTGCCACTGGGGCCTTCGGTGGAGGTCCCTCTGGGCCACAAAGCGCGTGAGGGGTGCGCCGAAATCGGGTGGGGCCGCCATGCGAATACTGCTCTGGGGCATCCGGTGGGTTTTTTCCCTATGGGGCCACGAAGCGTGTGATGGGTGTGTCGACATGGGGCGCGGCCGCCACGCGAACCCTGCCATTGGAGGTTTCGGTGGAGCTCCCGATGGGCCACGAAATGCTGCAATGGGCGCTAATGGGGGAAGGAGCAGGGAAGGGGCAGCGGGAGGAGAAGTGAACGCGGGGCGGTGCCTCCTCAAAGCGAAGATCCAACACCACAGGGGTTGTTTTCGTTTTTCCCAAAAATAGAACATCAAGGTCATAATTCAAACATGGTTACGGGCTGGTTTGCCTGAGACACCCGCGCAACACATCCTCACGACATGGGGTTGTTGAGCTTGGCGTTTTACGACGCTACTGAAATTTTCGCCGGGAAAAAATCCGTTTCACAAAACCATGTGTCGGATATCGGGCATCAGATATCCAGCATGGTGCGGGGGGAACGTTTCGATTTAAACGTCCTCACGCACTGGGAATGTCAGAAGAGTTGCGCTACTACGCTGGAAATCAAAAGTGGGGTTTCTGTACGAAGCGGCCCCAAACACGGACGGGTATGTTGAGCTCGGGCGTTAGATGTCGAACTCAGTGTGGCCAGGCGCTTCGCTGCAAACACCTCCATTCGAAGCGATACGTTGAGCGAACTTCCGAATTCGACGCACTTTCCAGAGCTTGGTTTTCGCCTGAAATGCCCTCACAAGTTGAGGCGTCACTCGAACAAACTCAGACTACAAATAATTGTACGATTAGTGGGGGCCTTCAAAATTGCAACGACATCTTGACGCACATGGCTCGCAGTGCGGCCCCGCCAGGGAAGCCTGTGGGCCATGGGGTTGGCCGAGGGGGCTCCCGCGTCTGAACAAATCGAAACCTGGCCCACCAGGCGACCCCGACCTCGGCAACCGGGGTCACCCCTCCATTCCCCGAGCAGCACCCAACACAGGCGACGAAAAGCGTCACGAGAGCACCGAACACATTTTTGTTGCGTCGGTTGGTAGGCAGGGGTCGTCTGCGCAGGCGAAATGAGCTAACTAAACGGGTGTACCGTTATAGCGACTTGGCCAACATGAAAGAGCGGGAACATGGGACAAAGGAGGCCCCCGGAGAGGGGGAGGGAGGAAATGGGACGACCACTCAGGGGCAGACGGATCACGTCCCTGGGTGCGTTGGCGCGGCCAAGCCCGCCGGCGGGGACTGAGGCGGCAGCTGCGCCGGTGTACCTGCTGAGGCGGGGCCCAGTGCGGGAACCGAAGGTCAAGACAGCGAGTAGCCGACGAAGCGCACGACGAGCCAGGTCAGCGTGCCGCGCGCAGCCCAGGTGGGGGCGCTGAACGTGCGGAAAGTAAGGCTGCATCCTGATCATCCAGCAAATGCGGGGCCAGCGTGGGGGGCGGGCGGCAAGACCAGGCCCAGAAACCAAAACGCGTGGCGGCTGCAGGCGGCGACCCAGGCGCCATCGCGGCGCACGGAGGGAGGGAGGGGCGAACGGGAAGGAGGGACGCCCCGCCTGCGGGAAACCCTACAGGCGGAGAGCAGAGGGGATGTCGTCTCAAGCGACATTAGCGGGATCGCCTCATGCGCGACATCGGATCGCCTTGTGTGCGGCATTTCAAAGCCCAGAAGTGCGAGGATGTCTTGTGCGAAATGGTCGGAGGACCTCAGGTCGCGGCATCTCCGAGCCCAGAGATGCGAGGGAATGTTTCAGACGAAAGTGGCTAGGCCACATTTGGCGCAGCGTCTGGTGGCACAGAATTGCGAAGATGTCTCAGGCGAAATGGGTCGGACCGACTCAGGTTAGGTCGTCTTGAAAACACAGTCTCGTGTGGATGTCCCAAGCGAAACGGGCCAGACCACCCGAGCATTTTGAGAATGTCTCGACGCGCGAGACCCGAGGGCCGCGCACGGTCTTACCACAACAATGCCCCCCGGCACCGGCCAGGCAACCCGGGAACACTTCGCATCAGAGACCTTAGTGACGGCAACAAACTAGAACCTCCCACATGTGCGTACAGTAGTACCAGGTTCTATTCAGAGATCGTCAGAGCGATGCGTCGCATAAGGTATGCATATATCGATCGGGATGTAAAAAGGCAATCAATCAGAGACGATGCAAATCCAGTCTGACACTAATCGCAAACCAAAAGCTGCACTTATCCACCTATCCTCCTTATCACACGAACGGCCGTCTTACCAGTCGATGCTGTCCCATAATTCCGCCAAAAAGGGGCGACACGAACTGTCATCTGATGCCCTCCACTCCAAGATGACGCCTTAGACGGCATCCAGGCCCCCAGGAGGCTTCCAGGAGGCTTCAAGAAGGCCACGAGGCCCCAAGAGGTCTCCAGGAGGCCCCCGAGACTTCCTGGAGGCCTTCAAGAGGCCTCCCAGCTGACCCCCAGATGCCATTCAGATGCCTCTGTTCACGATCCAAGGCGGGATGGACCGAGGGGCACTAGACAATAGACTGGGTTATAGGTCAATCAAGATAGACAACATTATGTTAGAGTGCAGCGATCTGTAATCGGACAACCGCTGGAGCCATGTCAATGTCAACAGAACGAACAGGAGGGTCGAAGAATCACAGCATGAGCAGGAACAGACCTGAAGGGGTCTGGGGCCAAGGCTTCCTTTCAAGAACGGATGGCCTTGTACTCATCGGGCAGGAGGTCCACTTCGTCCATCTCGAACCAGGCGTTGGTGCCCTTTTCGGCCACGATGCCTCTCACGTGAGCCACCGTCTCGGCCGTCATGAGGGGCTCGTCCGTGTCCTTGTGGTAGAACACCGGGATAGGTACGCCCCACGAGCGCTGCCGAGAGATGCACCAATCGCTGCGTCCGATCAGCATTGGTCTTATGCGTTTCGAGTAAGATGCAGGGATGAACTGCACCTCGTCGACCGCCTTGCGGGAGAGTCCGCCTCTTGCTGTTGCTGCTGTCGCACCGCTTTTGTCAATCCGTTAACGTGCCTTTGACATGATGGGGCGTGCTAGAATGCTTGTTGCTTGTCTGGCAGGGATTATATGTATGTACGTATGTATGTATGCATGCATGCATGTATGTATGTATGTATGTATGTGTGTATGTATGTATGTATGTATGCATGCATGCATGCATGCATGCATTGATGTATGCGTGTATGTATGCATGCATGCATGCATGTATGTATGTAGGTAGATAGGTAGGTAGGTAGGTAGGTAGGTAGGTAGGTCCGTATGTATGTATGTATGTATGTATGTCTATAGGTGTTCCCAGGCTGCGCCCCCTACTCGTAGCGCGCACTGTCAAAGCATCGCTCCATCTGGTGTTACTGACAGGCGCTCTTTTCGGCCTTCAGATATCTGAAAGGTAGTGGAAGACCGCCCCAAAAACGGCTGCAAGGCGCCCCAAGACAAACCGAAGAAGCTCTGAGGCCCCTGAGGCTGCGATACCTCGGCAGTGTCCACAACCGTGCCCCTGTGGCACGGAGAGGGGTGTCCCCGGGTCCCCTGCTCAACCCCTGACCCCAGTCCTCAATCTGGAGGATTCTCTAAGAGGCGGCCTCCAATCGGCCGAAAAAGCGCCCACGACGTTCCGAGAGGCCTCCAGGAGCCTTCCCTAGAGGGCCCCGTGAGACCAAAATCGTTGATGCTGCTGTTGCTGTTTTTTCCTAATGTTTCGTGGGCTCTCCACTCCTCGAGCTTCCGACGCTCCAGGACGTCCCAAGAGGCTCACAAGACCGCCCCAAGACGGCCCCATAGGCCCCGAAGAGCAACCAAAAACGGCCCAAGAGGGCCCCAAGACGGCCAGAGAGGCGCCCAAGACGGCCAAAGAGGCGCCCAAGACGGCCCCAAGAGGGGCACAGGAGGGGGAACACGAACCGAAAATCCTAGCCTTCCGCCCCAAGAGGCGTAAAGGAGGCTCCCAAGACGCCCCAACGGTCCCAAAGAGGCCCCCAAGAGTCCCAAAAGAGGTCCCAATACAACCCCCCAGAGGCATCAAAACTGCCTCGACGAGGCCCCAAGAAGGCCCCGACGAGCTCGCAACGGACATCCAAGAGACCCCAGACCCACAACCCAGGCACGCTGGCGGCATGGGCCAAAGGCCATCTGATCCAAGAGACGCCCACCGAGACCTCCAGCGAAGCCCTAAAAAATTAGCAGAAACCAGAAAAACATACATGCGTGTGGCTTCCGGTAATTTATTTCGGCTTCACGCGTCCGAAGAAAACCTTGCCGCTACGTGCGGATGCCCGAGCGGCCGTCTCGCGGGATTTGCCTTCAGAGATGTGCTCTCAACTCCGATCTGTATACCCCGTTCGAGGGGGGGGAGGAGGAGGAGGAGGAGGAGGAGGAGGAGGAGGAGGAGGAGGAGGAGGAGGCGGAGGAGCTTGCATGTAAGCCGTTGTGCTGCTGAGCTGTCCGTCCCATTTTGTCTCAAATGTTTCAGTCCGCCTTCCGGCGGAACCACAGAAACACTTTATTGTTTGCCGAAGACATGTAAAGTTGGAATGCTACCCCCTCCCCCCCAGATGGCCCAAGACGGCCACAAGAGCGCCCCAAGATCCCGTCCTCCCTCTCCTCGTCCTCTCTTGCTCCCTCCCTCTTTCATCGCCAGCCCCCACCCCGCCTCCCTGCCACCCTTGCTCCTCCCGTTCCCCTCCCCTCTCCTCCTCCTCCGCCCTCCTCCTCCTACCCCTTCTCCTCCTACCCCCTCCTCTCCTGCACCCTCCTCCTCCCGGCTCCCCCCTCCTCCCTCCCCCTCCTCCCTCCCCCTCCCCCCTCCTTCTGCCACACCTTCCCCCCGTAATAAGCTGCGAGGTGGGGTGCGCCCCCAGCAAAGGGTGTCGCCCGTGGGCAACTACTGGACTCATCCGCGACTCGCCCGAGGAACTGCTCGATGGCGGCCCGCTCGCGGACCTGGCAGTTCGGTCCGTGATCCTCCTCTCCCCCTCTCACCCCTCGGCCCTTGGTGGGGCCCCGCTCAGGACCGGCGGGCGCAGGCTGGGACCCCGCCCGCGGCCTTGAGGCAGTCCTCCCTCATGCCGTCGATGCTGGCGAACCACTGCGGGGTGGCGCGCGTGATCACCTCGGGGCGGCCGGCGCCGCACGGGCACAGCAGGCCTCCGCCTCCTCCTCGTCAGTCTCCTCCCCCACCTCCTCCTTCCTCCTCCTCCTGATCCTCCTCCTCCTCATAATTACCATCACCAGCACCATCACCATCACAATCACAGTCACCACCACCACCACCTTCACCTTCACCTTCACCTTCACCTTGATCATCATCATCATCATCATCATCATCATCATCATCATCATCATCATCATCATCATCATCATCATCATCATCATCATCATCAGCATCATCATCATCATCATCATCATCATCATCATAATCATCCTCATCATCATCCTCATCATCATCATGATCATCATCATCATCAGCATCATCAGCAGAATAATCATAATCATCAGCATTAGAATCAGCATCATCGCCAGCAGCATCGCATCAGCATCAGCATCATCACCATCCTCATCATCATCATCAGCATCATCATCATCAGCAGCAGCAGCATTATCATCATCAGCATCAGCACCACCATCATCAACAGCAGCATGAACATCATCAGCAGCAGCAGTATCATTATTACCATCATCATCATGATTATCAGCATCATCATCATCATCATCATCATCATCATCATCATCATCATCATCATCATCATCATCATCATTCATCATCAGCATCATCATCAGCAGCATCATCATCATCGTCATCATTACCACCACCACCACCATCACCACCACCACCACCACCACCACCACCACCACCACCACCATCACCATGATCATCATCATCAGCATCATCATCAGCATCAGCACCACCATCATCGTCATCATCATGCGCTCGCTCCTCCTTCTACTCCACCTCCTCCTCCTCCTTGTCCTCCTCCTCCTTGCCCTGCTCATCCTGCTCCTCCCCCCCCTCCTCCCTGTCATCCCGCTACCTCGTCTCCCATCGTCAACCTCGCTCTCCTCAGACTCATCTTCCCAATTCCTCTACCCCGCCCCTCCGCCTCACTCCACATCATCCCCTCTCCTCGCCGCAGTCGAGATAGATACCCCACCTCTTATGCGGTTGTCGCTGCCACGGGAGGCAGGGAAGAGAAAAGGTGGGGGGAGTGGAAACCTGGCCGTCGAAGAAAAAGGAGGAGGGGAGGGAGGGAGAGACGAGAAGGGATAGAAGAAGGAGAAGGAGGCGAAGGACGGAATAACGAATGGAGGGAGGCGAGAGGGATGGAGGAAGGAAGGATGCAGGATCCTGCAGGGAGGATCGGAGGAAGGAGGAGAAAGATGCGGGACGGAGGGAGGGAGGGAGGGGGATAAGCTAGATGCGGTGGAGGGAGGAGGTAGATCGCCGGCTTCTTGCTCCGCCAGTCGTACGGGTACTTGTGCTTGTAGGGGCTCTCCAGCAGCAGCAGCTTCGCGCCCTGCAGCACCTCGATCACCCTGTCGTTCGCGTCCTTCAGGACGTTCGCGCCGACCAGGCTCGCGAGCCCCACCTCTCTCCTCCTCCGCCTCCTCCACCTCATCCCTCATACCACCTACTCCTCCTCCTCCATCCTCCTCTTCCTCCTTCGCATCCTCCACTTCATCCCTTCTCCAACCTCCTCCTCCTCCTCCTCCTCCTCCTCCTCCTCCTCCTCCTCCTGCTCCTCCCCTTCCATCCTCCTCCTTCCTCCTCCTCCTCCTCCACCTCCTCCTCAGTCCTCCATCCTCCCTCCTCCCGCCTCCCTCCTCCTCTCGTCATCCCTCCCTCCCTCCCTCCCTCCCTCCATCCCTCCTTCTCCCCCATCCCTCCCACCTCCCAACTCCCGCCTCCCCGCGCAGGGAGGCGCACGCTCTCCCTCCCTCGCACCCCGCCGCGGGAGCGCCAAGGGCGACGGATTCTCGTCGTCGTCGTCGTCGTCGTCGTCGTCGTCGTCGTCAACGTCCAGGTCGTGCCCCCGTGGACAAGGACAGCGTCAACGGCCCGGGGCACGAAGCGCCCCCCCCCCTCGCGCCCCCCGCCGATGGCCCACGGCCAGCCGCAGAGGGGGGGGGCCCCCTGCCCGCCTCCTCGGTGAAGTTGCCCGCGTTGTCCACTGGCGCCGCCACCTTCGGGGGGAACGACAGGGGGGGGGATAGCCTCAGGTCGGGCCAGTCCCCCTACAGGCCGATCTTCGAGGAAAAATTAAAAACCGTCAAACAATGATCAAGAATTATAAAAAATCACTGAGAATAATCCCCTGAATATTTTTTCCTATTTTTGATATTCCCCCTGTAGAATGACAGGCCCGACTTATGGATAGCTGGTAGGGTAGAATCAGCTCACGTAGCTGATTGTCCCAGCGCCTCCCGGCGCCGGGAGGCGCCCATGTATTGAGGAATGGGCCCAGCGCCGCGACCGAAACCCGCTGCATGCAGCAGATTTCGCCCCCCCCCCTCCACTATTCCCCCCCTTTCGTTCGGCCCGACGCCTCCAGACCGTACTTGAGGCCCACCTGGTAGTCGTCCTTGGGCACGAGCCAGAAGGGAAACAGAGGCCACCGCCACCGAGGAGCCGGACCCCTGGGCGGTGTGGCACGCCCGAGCGTCACCGAGTGCTGGACGACGCTCGGGCGCGTGCCACACCGCTCGTGGGTGGGTCACCCCCGAAGGGTTCTCCGTGGATGCGGGCAGGAGCGTGCCCCTGGACCCCGCGGGCTGTCCACAGGATCAGCTGCCCGCCTCGAGCAGCCCTGCTGACGGCCCAGGGGCCCAGGGCTGGGAGCCGCCAAACGACGGAGAACCCCTGGAGGACCCGTCGCCGTCGCCGTCGCCGCCGCCGTCGCCGCCTCCGCGGCCGGGGCCGTCGGAGCCGTCGCCGACGCCGTCGCCGTCGCCGTCGCCGCGGCCACCGACGTGGCCGTCTTTGTCGTCGTGGTCGTCGTCGTCGCGGGCGCGGTCTCGAATCCTGGCCGTGCCCAGGGGCCGTGTGGACGAGACCGGTGCCAGACTCGGTGGTGATGTAGTCTCCGCCGATGACCTCGGCGAGGCCGCCCGCCGTCGGCCAGCGGCAGCAGCCTCCCCCGAAGGCCGCTGCTGCACACGCTCGCCGTCGCGGCTACTCCCCGCCCCAGCTGTTTCGAAGCAACGGCCGCCGTGCACCCGACGCCACAGACGTCCTACCACGTCACACGCAGGCACACACAAACACACACACGCACACGCACACTCACACACCCTCTCTCACACACGCACACGCTTGTTTGGCGCACGCGGTCTCGCGCGCAGCGTCGAGGCGTAAGAAAGTCGGTGAGCAACAGAAGCCAATCACATGCACAGACACACGCGCGCGCACACATGCACAACCTTTTGGGCGCCGCACGCGGCTGGTGCAGAGAGCCTCGCAAGAGTTCGAGAGTCACGCCCTGCGCAGACGGGCAAAAGCAGGGCTAAGCGAAGGCGACCACACACACACAAAAGCGAACACGGGACACGTACACGCGCGCACACACACAAAAACGAACACGGAACATGTACACGCGCACACACACACACACTCTGAAAATGCTGCACCTTCTGCTCAACCTCCCTCGGCAGCCCATAGTGTGGTCTCTGTTGCAACTGGGGTGCCTCCCTGCAGACAAGACTTATGTCCATATCCACTGCGTCTTGGACTTTCTGAGAAGGCGCGCCCAAAGGCCGAGACGCAGAGGACATGGATAAAAAAGTCTGGCCTCCCTGGGCCATATCTTTATCCGCATCCACTGCGCCTCGGGTGTCTAGGGATGTAGGCCAAATCTCCGAAACGCAATGGAGATGAACACAAATCTTGCCCACCGCGTCTCGTTCTCTCTAGGGGGGGGCGACTCGGCAGTCATGGAGCACTGCAGCACATACGAGCAGGGCCCCAAGACAACCCAGCAACACCCAAAGATGGCCCAAAGATGCCCACTAGCCGTTCCAAGGGACCCTCAAGACGGCCCCGAACCCCAAGAACCCCAAGGCGGCCCCGAGAGGCCTCCGAGACGGCCTCCAACAGGGCCAGACGGCGCAAGAAAGTCCCAGGACGGCCCAAGAGGCCCCCCCAGAGGAACAGGAACGGGGCGGTCGGGTCGATTGTATAGAGAGTGCAGCCGAATAACTTTGAAAGGGAATGATTTGTCCGCCCGCCCCCTCTCTGTCAATGTCTTGCGAATCGAATTGTTGTCTCCATGTATTGCGTTTTTGTTCGTAGCCGTTTCAATCGTGTCCTTGCAGGAGCAAGCCACGCTCAAAGTGATGGCATTCGGGCGGCAATCTCATTCACATGAACTAATGGGCTGTGTGTAATGACAGCTTTGCATTCAGAGCATTTCAGTATCGGCGGCGAGCCAGGGGGGGAAGGAAGAAGGGACGGGCCTTCTCAGAAGGCTCGGAAGTCCCCTGGCCCTCTGAGAAGTTTCCGCAGCCTCGCCCGAGGACACAAGACAACTCTCAGCAGAGGGCGCGAGGGCTTCTGAGCAGTCCCGACGCCTTCTGAGACGGCCTTCCCCGTCTCACTTCCCCCCCTCGCTCGCCGCCGAGGCGCCCACGCGCGACTTCACGTGGGAAACGCCAAGGCTGACCTGGCCCGCCCAGGGCCAAGCTGACCAACGGCCCAGCGGCACGCGGGACACGCGCGCGGGGTTGTTTTTGGCATGCGCCGAACTGCTGAGGCGAAGGCCACTGGAGTCTCCACCCCGGTGATGGGGTGCTCGTACATCAGGCCCTCCAGAAGGCTGCCCTTGAAGGTCGCCTCCACCGCCAGCTCCAGCTTGAGCTTCTCCTGCAGCGCCTCTACTAAGCCGCTGGCCACGACGAGCCGCAGCTTATCGCCGTCTGGAGTGGTGGCGCCCACCACGGCGTAGTCCAGCTCCTCCCGCGGCTGGCGGTGGCGAGCCGGCGAATGCGAGAGGTCTGGCCCACTCTCCTCTGGCCGATGCTTCGGCGGGCCGCGACAAGGGAAACAAAAAAGGTGCCCATACGGCAGGGTCATGTCATGCCGACTTCGGCGTCAATTCCTGACTCCACGGGGATCGGTCAACCTTGAACGATCGGCCGCTTCCGAAACGTGAGCTCGTTCAACATCGACCGGCTCTGGGTCGCCGGCAAAGTTCAACATTGAACGCCACTTAAGGGTCGCAACTGGTCGACAAGACACGAACCAACCGTACCGCTACTCCACGAATCCTTGGGTGCGTTCTGACCAGGCGTTCGCGGGCCGCGAGGTTTCAGGGCGCCCAAGATGGCCAAAAATAATTCGAAGAGGGCCTCCGATGCTCCAAGATGGCATCCAAGGCGGCTCAAGAGAATCGATGATTCAAGATAGCTTCCCGCATGCCTCCAATGAGGCACGACGAGGGCCACGAGACGGTTCCAAGTGCTCTGAGCCCTCTCAGAACGCCCCACTGATTTGTGACGTCTCGCCTTTTCGCTTCGGATGCGCGTTGGGGGCCTCGGGATGGTCCCAAGATGGCCCACGAGAGGCCCTAGAGAGGCCCAAGAGGAGGCCCAAGAGGATGCCCAAGAGGAGGAGGAGGAGGAGGAGGAGGAGGAGGAGGAGGAGGAGGAGGAGGGATAGGAAGAGGGGGTAAGGGAGGAGAGAGGGGAGGAGGCAGGAGGAGGAGGAAAGGAGGAGGAAGGAGGGGCACCCCAGACGTCCCAAGGGTGCCCAAAGGCGGCCCTGCGAGCGTACCCACGACGCGGTGTTGCTGGTCCGAGGGGCGGGCAAATGCCTCCCCCCCCCCCCCCCCCACACCACACACACACACACACACACACACACACACACACACACAACACACCACACACACACACACACACAACACACACCACACACACACACACACAACACACACACACACACACACACACACACACACACACACACACACACACACAGACAACAAACACACACAACAAACACACACACACACAAACACAACCACACACACACAAACACACACACACACGCAAACACACTCGCGCGCGCGCGCGCGCACACACACACACACACACCTCCAAATTGATCGATGGCCTCTAAGATGGCCCCAAGAGAACCCCCAAAAGGGCTCCAAGAGGGCCCCAAGACTCCCCAAAACAGCCCGAGGATGCCCACAAGGAGTCTCGAGAGCGATTTTGAAGGCTCTGTCCTCGTCCTCGTTGTCCTCCTCCTCGTTGTCCTCCTCCTCCTCCTCCTCCTCCTCCTCGTCCTTGCCCTCATCGTCTTCCTTCTCCCTGTTCTCCTCTTCCTTGTCGTCGTGGTCGTCGTCGTATTCCTCCTCCTCCTCCTCCTCCTCCTCCTCCTCCTCCTCCTCCTCCTCCTCCTCCTCCTCCTCCTCTCCCTCGCCCCAACGCGGACCCCATGGATGGCCCGAAGTGGCCCTCCAAAGCCACCCTTTTGCCCCCCATAAATTGCGTTCACCCTCCTGGAAGCGTCGCCACAACGGCCCCCTCGGCAGCCTCTGCCATGCCCTGCCTCTGCGCAGGTTGAGCAGCGGAGGCCACGTGGCTTCGGCATGGTGGCGGAGACGATGGCGGCGGCGACGACGGCGAGGAGAGGATGATATCGATTTCTAGACAGCGGAGACCACCGCTCCCCGTGCCGCTAGGGAAGCTTCAACCGGCCCCTGGGAGCGTCGCCTCGTCGGCCCTCTCAGCCGCCTCTGCCTCAGCGCGCACCTATATAGTTGGGGATGCGAAGGCCAAACAGCTTTGCCATGTCCTGCGAGTAGCAAAAAACTGCCTAAGCGTAAACGATCGAAAGTCCGCGCGGATCTCTTGGATCGGCTCCTGGACCCCCGCGCGCCCAAGACGGGAAGCGGAGAGGGGGGGCCAAGCCCGACGATCAACACAAATCCCTGCGGAACTCCGATCGGTTCAGGCTTGCGCAGTTTGTCGCTGCTCTCCAGTCCTGTGGTTTTGTTGTAGGCCCATGCAGACGTCGTAGACTGCTGATACCGAGCAGAAGCTGCTGCTGCCGCCGCTGGCGATGATGCCGTCGATGATGGCGGCGAGGTCCTGGCTCGTGTCGTCGGAGTCGTCCACACACGCGCCAGCCTGGGCGACCACGGGGCGCGAGGCATCCCAGGGGCCTCCAAAGGCGCACGGCGAGCGAGAGGCGGCCAGGACGCCTCGATCATCGCATTAGGTCGGGCTTGTCCCCCTACAGGCGGATTTTGAGCGAACAAGTAAAAAAATCAAACCAACTACCCCAAACATGTTCAAAAATATGTTAAACATCGTCCCCCGACTAGTTTTCGACTCTTTTTGAACGTTCCTCCTGTGGAGGGACAGGCCCGATTTGATCCTCGCACCTTGAGAACGCGTCCAGAAGACTCGATCCTCGAACCTCGCCTTCCGAGCTGGGTCCAGGACCACGGGGCCAGTCCACGGGACCCGCTCTACACCGTGGAGCACCCATCCTCGAGCTCGCTCCCCGAGCGCCGGACCAGCTTCGCGCCCCGAGGACCCTCGAAGCGCCATCCTCATGCCGGGTCCTGGGCCACCAGGCAGCTCCTCGGGGCCAGCTCGACACCTCGAGCGAGCCGCACCCTGACGGCCCTGGGGGTACCGGGAGATGATGGGCCTGTCTTCCACCAACACCACCACCACAAGTTGGAGGGGGAGGGGGTCCTCCTCTTCCTCCTCCTCCTCCACCTCCTCCTCCTCCTCGTCCTCCTCCTCCTCCACCTCCTCCTCCTCCTCCGCCTCCTCCTCCTCCTCTCCGTGTTCCTCCTCCTCCTCCTCCTCCTCATCCTCCTCCTCCTCCTCCTCCTCTTCCACCTCCTCCTCCTCTCCGTGCTCCTCCTCCTCCTCGTCCTCCTCCTCCTGCCCCCACTCAAGCTTATGGTGGTGGTGGTGGTGGTGGAAGACAGGCCCATCGGGAGAGGCCTCTTTCTGCGAGGCCGAAGGTGGCGCGCAGAGCGTCCGAGCGCCCAGCTCAGGACCTCCAACGGTCGGGGCCAGACATCGGGTCAGGCATGTCCCCCTGCAGGCGGATTCCCGACGAGAAATTCAGAAAGAAGACTCAACAAATACTCAACACTCGGCAACACATGCTCGAAAAATCGTCCCTGGACTAGTTCTTTGGGGGCGATGTTTGAACAGTCCTCCTGCAGAGGGGCGTGCCCGACGTAAGTGAAGGGGCCCCAGGACACACAAATAAATACACACAAATAAAATAATTCCCTATATTTTCCCATATTTTTTGAATTTGTGTCTTCCCCCCCACTTCCATATTTTCCTATATTTTCCTGGGAATCGACGGTTAATTGTGTCTGTGTTTTTTTTTTCCCTCCTGAGTAAGGCAAACATCGGCCTGGAATCGGCGATGCCTCGTCGATGCCTCGGCGAGGGGCCCCGGGGAACGCGGAGCAGCGGGCCCCTGGCGCGGGGAGGGCCCGCAGCGGGCCCCGATGCGACGACGGAGGGGCCACTTGCGGTCTGCGCGTCCCGCCCCTGGGCTGAGGTCGGGCGTGTCCCCCTACAGGAGCACGTTGGATGAAACATTGAAAAATACCCCCAAGTCACCCACCGACATTAGGTCGGGCTTAGGTCGGGCGTGTCACCCACTTTTGACATATGCCCCAAACGTGCCCCAACGATAACCAAACATGGCCCAAACATGGCCCCCAGACTGTTCTACTGTCTTCAAGTATTCCTCCGGTGGAGAGACAGGCCCGATTTAACCCTGGGCTCAGGTCGGGCGTGTCCCCCGCTACAGGAGCATGCTGGACGAAACATGGAAAAATACCCAAACATGCCCCAACAATAATCAGACATGGCCCAAACATGGTCCCCAGACTGTTCTACTGTCTTCAAGTATTCCTCCTGAGGAGAGACAGGCCCGATTTAATCCTGAGCATCTCCCCTCCCACAGCAGGTGGTTCGTGTCGTGACGAGCCCGACGCTGGTGTCTTACACCGCGTGGATCTTTCAACCTTGAGCGATCGACGGGTTTCCGATCGACACATCGTTCCGTATTGTCCGATTCTGGGCCACTGGCGGCGTTCAAAGTCGAATGCCCGCGGGTCACTGCCGCGTCGGCACAACACGAACCCTCCGTAACCTTGCCCCTGACGTGTTCCAGCCCGCGGGCCCCCGAAATCTCGACCCCTGCCCGGAAGGGGGGGAGGGGCCCGGACGCTCTTGGGGCCCTGCGATGGTCGTCTCCTGCAGCGCCCCAAATCGCCAACAGCCGTCTGCCCCGGTTTCTCCACGACGCGAGGGGGCCCGGATTCTCCGCGCGAAGGACCCAAACTGTCGTCGAGTTTTCGGGCGGCCGTCCGGGACATTCCTGGCACCGCTGGGACGCCCTTGACGCGGCGGAGCCGATGGAAGCCGCGCAGCCGTCGAAAACGTTCGACTCCACCCGCCCCCCCGACACCCATAAAGCCAGGATTTCGGGCGCCCGAAACGGTTAAGGAAGACATGGGCACGATGCCCCCCAACAAATGTTGCCCCAAACCGGCACTGGCCGCTGTTGGGCAGGCGGCCTTCTGTCTCAAATGGACAAAGCCCGCGGCGGCACCGACAGCACATCTCATTCAAAGTGGGCTCGAACTGGCAGCTTTCGTGCCCCAGTCGTTCCGTACCCCAGGGCCACTCAGCATCGAATCGATAACTTGGATCGACTCGAAGTGTGCATCGTATCGGGTTGCGCCGGCACGGGATCGACATCGAATCGGATCGGCTGCGCCCGGATGCGCAACAACGCCACACAAAAACCAGGCCGCACTGGATCGTCGGCGCATCGGTGTCGGATCGGATCGGGCCACGCAAGATCGCTATCACATCGGATGGATCGCATATTCGCACCCTGTATTTCTGCACCCGTTCCAAGGGAACCCGCAAAGGACGTACCTTCCCACCCACAACATGAACACGGACCTCAAGTCCGCGAGACCAGCCGCGTGACACGGATGCTCGCGCAACGCGTACGCTCAAAACCGACGTGGGTTCACGCACGTGTACAGTCGGACCAAGGTCAGAATAACATTATCCGAGAGCATAAAATCCTCCGTCCAAGGGCACCCTCCCTAGGATGCATAAGAACATCCAACAAACACAAAGAACACCAGAGCACGCTCCTCGAACCAATCTCGATCTTGCACCTCGGTCCAACTGTACGTACATCGCCGAAGCATCGGCGACATCGCCGATGCATCGGCGCCGTCGGGGTGGAGAAAATCGGGCCCCACATCGAGCCACACCGACGATGCATCAGTGCTGCGGCGCGATCCTCCGACCCCATCTATACTCGGACCCCATCTGAGAGGCCGAGACGTGCCTACTCTCGAAACCGACGTGGATTCATGCACGCGCATGTCCATTTTTTCCCCTGCTGAATGTCGCTCGCACCCGCTGCTGCGCTCGGCCCGACGCCTGGCCGCTGCGGGGAAGCCGCCGCCCCATGGACCGCAGTTCTTTCTGGCCGTGGCGCGCCACGGCCGCCCACCGCGCCCTGGCCCTGCGCGCCTGCCTGCTGCTGCCCGCCGGCTGCTCATCGTCGAATTCTTCGGCGTCTGAGCTGTGAGCGTCCCTCCTCCTCCTATCCTCCTCCTCCTCCTCCTCCTCCTCCTCCTCCTCCTCGTCCTCGTCCTCGTCCTCCTCCTCCTCCTCCTCCTCCTCCTCCTCCTGCTCCTCCCTCCCCTCCTCCTCCTCCCCTCCTCCTCCCCCTCCCCCTCCCCCCCTCTCCCCCTCCCCCTCCCCCCTCCTCCCCTCCTCCTCCTCCTCCTCCTCCTCCTCCTCCTCCTCCCTCCTCCTCCTCCTCCTCTCCCTCCTCCTCCTCCCCTCCTCCTCCTCCTCCTCCTCCTCCTCCTCCTCCTCTCCTCCTCCTCCTCCTCCTCCTCCTCCTCCTCCTCCTCCTCCTCCTCCTCCTCCTCCTCCTCCTCCTCCTCCCCCTCCCCCTCCTCCCCCCTCCCTTCTCCGTGCCGCCGGCCTCGGCGCCCGACGTCCGGCCCGGCGCCCTTGCGCACTGCTCCGCGAAGCCCTGCGGCGGGCGGGCCTCCGCGCAGGCGCGGGTCAGCGCCGGCACGGCGGCGAGGCCGCGCCGGCCCTCCAGGCCCAGGTTGGCCCTGCGGCCCGCGCGGGCGGCACGGGAACGAGGCAGGAGGAGGAGGAAGGAGAGGAGGCGGAGGAGGAAGGAAAAGGGACGAGAGGAGGCGGAGGGGTAGGAGAAGGGCGAGAGAGGAGGAGAAGGAGGCGGGAGGCGAAGAGGAGGAGGAAGGTGAGACAGAAGGAGGAGGAGGATTCGGCCACGTCGGATAGACACAGGGCCGATAAGTTCTGAAGCTCTGAAGGAGGAGGAGGAAAAGGAGGAGGGAACGAGAGAGGGGAGGACCCTGATATCCAGGCGCTGCACTGTGTCCGCACCGGCGTTTTCGCCTGGCTTCTGGCCCCGGGACCATCACATATCGATCTGGCTCGAAAGTGGACACGGCAAGATGGGGTCTAGAATTCTGGTCGCGATTTTCACTGGATTGGATTTGCTCCGCAACGCCAGATCTCACGGAAGGAGGAGGGGAAGGCAAAAGGAACGAGAGAGGCGGAGGAGGAGGAGGAGCAGACGGCAGATGGAACGAGAGAGGCGGAGGAGGAGGAGGAGGAAGATGAGGAGGAGGAGGAGGAGACGGCAGAAAGAAGGAGAGAGGCGGAGGAGGAGGAGGAGCAGGAGGCGGAGTAGACGGCAGAAGGATCCAGAGAGGCGAAGGAGGAGGAGGCAGAAGGAACGAGAGAGGCGGAGGAGGAGGAGAGGCAGGAGGAACGAGAGAGGCAGAGGAGGAGGAGGAGGAGGAGCAGGAGGAGAAGACGGCAGAATGAACGAGAGAGGCGGAGGAGGAGGGGGAGGAGGAGGAGACTGCAGAATGAACGAGAGAGGCGGAGGCGGCGGAGGAGGAGGAGGCCCCAGACGGCCCTGCATGAGGCAAAGCAACCTCGGCGGCGCGCCAAAGGGGGGTGGCAAGCAAAGGGGGCCGGCCTTCTTAGAAGGCTCGGAAGTACTACCCCCTTCTCGTTCCTTCTCCTCGTCCTCCTCCTTCTCCCCCTCCTCCTCCTCCTCCTCCTCCTCCTCAACCTCCTTTTCCTCCTCCAAACCACCCTGAAAACCTGATCCGACAAGAACGGGAAGCGCCGTGTTAGTCCAACGGGCCCATTTGGGCGAAAGCGAAGGAGAAGAGGAAGGCGAGGGCGACGAGGAGGCGATGACGAGATCGAGGACGACGCGGAGAACGTGAGGATAGCGGGGAGGAGCACGAGGACAACGAGAAGGAAGAGTCTGAGAAGACTCAGAAGTACTGCCCCTTCTCACTTCCCGCCATCAGCGCGCCGCCGACAACCACCCTCAAAATCCGCCACCGTGTGTGGTGCACGTTCAGACGTGGAAGAATGCCAAGGTCTGCCTGGCCGGGTTTCTGAAACTGTCTAAGGGCCCCTCCCCTTTACTAGCGCCCAGGGGCGCGCATCGGCCCCTCTTGCCGAGGTCGTATTCCCTTCGCAAAATATGACAAACTCGCGCCCCCGAGGCCCGGATAATACCAATACGGCTCAACATCGCTCCAAGACGTGCAACGCTGGCCTCAAGAAGGCCCAAGATGGCTTCAAGACGGCCCGCGAGGCCGTCGAGGCGTTCCAGGCGAGCCCTAATAGCCTTCCCCAGAGGGCCTCGAGCGGCAAACATCACTGTTTGTTCTCAGGCGTTCCAGTGCTTTTGGGTCTTCGCCTTTTCGAGCTTCCGACGTCACAAGACGACCCAAGAAGCAACCAAGACTGCCCCAAGAAGTCCCAAGAGGCCCCCAAGAGGGCCCCAAGACGGCCCACGTGGGCTCCACGACGGCCCAAGATCCCCAAAACGGCCCCAAGGAAGGCCCTAGAGGGTGAACCCGAACCGACAATTCGAGCCTTGCGCCCCAAGAGGGCAAATAAGGACCCAAGAGGGCCAAAAGAGGCCCCCCTAGAGCACAAGAGGGCCCCGAGAGGCAAAAACCACTGATGTCCCTGAGCTTGTTCAATGTTTGTTGGGCTCTCGCCGTTTCGAGCCCCCGACGCTCCAGGACTGCCCGAGAGGCTCCCGAGACTCCCCCGAGACGGCTCTCAAGAGGCTCTCGATGGAGCACCGAGACGGCCCCAAGCCGGCCCAAGAGGCGCCCACGACTGCCCACGAGGCTCCCAAGATGGCTCCAAGAAGGGACCAAACCACATTCTCTTTGGAAGCGACGCTCCCGCTCAAGCCTGGCCTTCGAAGGTCAAACTGCGACGGCAACCTCTGCCACCCGATACCTCCTCACACTTTACCCTCCGAAACGCCCCGGCCACGGGGGCTCCCAAACGCAGGGATGAACAGCGACGACAAAGGCGCCTGCCCGATCATTTCGCACAGTTTGCTCCGAGACGCGCTGCCTGGAGGGGCCCCCAAGCATGCGCAAACTAAGCGAAGTTGGAGAAGGCCCGACTGCGACGACAGCGGCGCCCGCTCCATACCCTCCTCCCAGTCTTCTCCTGCGGGCCCCAGTTCGATGCTCTCTCTCTCTCATTCTCTCACTCAGGAAGGGCGATCCAGGAGCTGTTGGAGGAACATCCACTGACTGGCCTGGACGGACCTTACGCCATGGGCGCCCAGGTGCGCTGAACATGAGGCGCATGGTGCTACGAGAAATTGGTGGGACCGCCAACACACCCAAACCACCATTGTTGCATAATGCGACTGGTGTATATGAAACGGCACGCAATGTGTGTGTCATGATACGGCTACATGTGTGTATCAGCCTCGGGCTACCAGTATGCGCAATCTGCAACATGTTCGGTGACCTCAAACAACGACAACTCCGACATGCAACGCATTATGCTATTATGCGGACCGCCGCCAGACAACCAGAACAGTGGATTGCGAGGATGAAACTACAGAGAACTCGTGCGACACACTGGTGTCTTGCGCTTTGCTGCAGTATCATATATGGCACGATGTGCATTTACTGCAGTATGTTGTTGAGTTTGTCTGCATGTGTATATGGATATATGTATGCATGCGTATGCACCTAACATGTAAACACTGAGTGTTGTGCGCGTGCCTAAACACAACGAGCGCGTGTGTGTACACAGGTGCGGCATGGTATACGATCGTGTAGAATTACGATGCGCGTATCAATGCAACTGTACGGGGCTGATTGGTATGTGGTATGTGGCTCATGCTCTAAATGACTTGAAACATCGAGGGCTGTTGTCTCTGGTTTTGCGTCGAGGGGAAGGGAGGGGACGAGGAAAGAAGGACGAGGATATGAAACGAGACGAGACGCAGCACGCGCTGGAGCGCGGCCCTACTGAGAACATAATTGGGGGGGCGTGGCCCCGCAGATGTGGGTGAACAGGACGCTCCGGGATGAGGAGGAAAGGCGGAAGGGAAGACAAGGAGGACAGGAGGGAGGGAGGACATGGAGGACGAGGAGGGACGGGCCATGGATCCAGGGGCAACACAGCTATCTAATGCCGACGACCGGGAGGACAAGGAGGACAAGAGCCAAGATCGTGGGTCGAGGCTCTGGGCTCGCTCGGGCTGGGCCGCGGGGCCTGCGCGCGAAGAGCGACAGGTGCGCGTTGCGGCAGCGGGCCCAACGCGCGGCGCGCCCCGACCACATCGCAGTCCGGGCGCGGGGCGGGCGCGCGGGCGGCGGGCGGGCGGGCGGGCGCGGGCGGTGCGCCGCGGCCAAAGCCGAAACGGCTGCAGAAGAAGGGGGTGAGGAAGGAGAGGAACTGGCGGGCCAGAGGAGGAAGCGGAGGAGAAAAAAGAAAAGCAACAAAGGGGGGTGGAGTGGCATGCGGGAGAAGAGGGGAAAGGGGGGATGCGAGGGAGAGGGGCAGGAGGGGGCCAAAAGTGGAACGGGCACAGAGGACGAAAATAAAACCAAGAAGCGTCAACTATGCCACACTACACCCCCCGTCCCACACATTCCTTTCCGTTACGGGAAGTGCCCCCTTTGATGACGAGCGTCGGGTAGCCCTGCTACTCAAACGGTACCAACCTTCGAAAGAAAAGCGTCCACCCCCGCATGCGCAAAAACGTCCAACGATTGCCCCGCTTTGAAAGAACATGTCCTCCACCCGTGCCAACGATACACACTTCCGAAGGCATCGTCTTACAGACAGACGGAAAAATCCGCGGACCGTTTGTGGTCCCCAAAAATGCGAGATTCCCCTCCCGTAATCCCCCCGTCGGGGACATCTGACACCCCCCCCCTTGCCGCGGATGAGCCCGGCACGGCCAAGGGGCCGCAGAAGGACCCCAAACGGGCCAAGACGGCCTCCAAACGCCCCCAACAAAACCACCAACACTTGCTTCGAAACGGCCCTGGATGCCCCGAAAATGCCCCAAAAGGCCTCCAAGAAGTCCCTTAAGGAGTCCCCAGCGGGCAACGATCGTCCTCCGCAGCGTCGGAGGCGGTCCCAAAGGGCCCCAAGGTCGGTCCACGACGGCCCACGTGGCTCTCGAGACGGCTCCAAGAAACGGCTTCAGGAATGGGCCCACAGGGCACACCCGAACGGACGTTGTCAGCCTTCGGCCTCGGAAGATCCCCAAGAAGCTCCCCACAGGCGCCAGAAGGCGGCCAAGACTCCCGAAAGTGGCCCCCAGGATGCTTTCAATGGGGTTCAAACAACTGTCCCCATGCGGCCCCAAAAAACATCTCCCGCCCCCATTACCTCCTGCGTCTTCCTCTCCTTCCTCCCCCTTCTGATGTCATCCTCTCCTCCTCCTCCTCCTCCTCCTCCTCCTCCTCCTCCGTTTCCTTTTCCTCCTCCTCCTCCTCCTTTTCCTTGTCCTTTTCCCCCTCCTCCTCCTCCTCCTCCTCTTCCTCCTCCTCCTCCTCCTCCTCCTCCTCCTTTTCCTCCTCCTCTTCCTCCTCCTCCTCCTCCTCCTCCTCCTCCTCCTCCCCCTCCTCCTCTTCCTCCTCCTCCCGTCGCATTGATACGCCTGCCAACTGCGCGCCGGGAATCCCGAATCCGTGCTTTCTTCTCTGGCGATGTTCAACTTGCGTTGTTTTGAAGTGTTCCGCGTCCGAGAAAATCACCCCCACACACACACTTACAG